CGCCTCCCGACCCCCGCTCGTCGCCATAGCAGCCGGGGGGGCAACATAAACCTTACTTTATCCTTCAATTTATACACGATACTGTCATCCCACCGCTGCCAATATATGTTCAGAGAAGCTCTCCAGCACATTTTCATACAAAGGCTTTGTCCAGGGCTTGTAAAGCATCTGACAGCATCTAATATATCAATATAAAATAAGGGTCGATGAATTAAAATAAGCAACTTTCCCCTTTACAAATTTGGAAAATTTTGAAATCACAAAAGAATCCCCTTTTTGCTCGCTTCATCTGTACTTTTTTCTTTTATGCCATAGTAATGAGCAGTAAGTTATTTCCCCACAAAGCAGAATATTTCAAACAGCATCTTATTTTTCAAAATAATAAGTCATTTATTTTGAAGACACAAGGGATTCCATTACAGTCACTTCGTTTGATGACTTAAAAGAGATTGTGGAATTTTACCAAGCATTTCATTCATTGAGCTATTGCGCTCTGGCTTAGCCTCAAGTTACCTAATTTTAAGATCGAGCTTTCAATTAGCAGACAACCCACAACATCCCTAATGTTGTTGCTCCAGCGATTAGTAGAAAAATTATACCCTGCTTCTGGCCTCAGTTTTATTCATTAGCTGGAAGTTGAGATTGGACTTACTCTGTTTATGAAATCCTACCTTTAGCCTTTGTCCTGAAAGTTGGAAACATGTCTTTAGGGTGATCTGATTTGGTTACAGCCACACAGAAAGAGCTTCCTGCTATGATCACACAGGTTTGATGGTAAGCAGCATGAACATAAGTAAAGGTATCCTTTTGAAGACACACTGCTGAGCCCTCAGAAATTGAATAGATGTAGTGTATCTATTATCTCCTGAGCTGAATTACCAATCAAACAAGATCCTGGCATCCCAGTTCAGTTTGTTCTCTGCTGTTTATTCCAGCCATAGGAGCTGAGGTTTCTCCAGGACAGCTTGTGTTAAAGTTCTCATAAATTCGCTATAGCCACCCAAATGGGTGGATGCCAACAGATTTCTCCCTCCATTCACCAAAAAAAGTTTTCCATGTAACTATTCCAAAAAAGGGGGGGGAAGCACTTTCCCCAGTTCCCAGCAGAGGGCAGTAATGGGAACTGACAAGCCATAATTTGCCAAGGGAAAAAGAAAAAAAAACCCAACAAAACCACACAAAACCAAACCCTTTCCTTTGAATTCAGTCCTGCTCGGTGAGAAAGAACGAGGGTAACCAAGTCACTTTCACATAAAGCACACCACCTCTTCTGTACCTTTTGATTGATTTCTTCTCCACACAAAGCAGCACAGCCCAACACCACCTATGTCAGATAAAGAGACAAGACTTTGAGTGAAATAAAAACATCTGAGGAGGATCCCCTTTGAAGCTGCAGATCCAGTTCAAAGTCATGGGCATCAAACAGTGTCATCAGTGCTTTAGACAGAAAAGTCTGGATGAGTCTTGTTTTCTAAACCACCACATGCTTGGGATGTTCAGACAGCTCTGGGTCAGGTTTTAATCACCCAGAAGCCATTCCAACTGGACATATAGAAAAGCCTGCATGATATTCACATTATTGTTTAAATGGGCAACACAGATGAAGCTCGTTTCAATTAGCAGGGATGTATCCTTACCAAAATAAGAAGAATGGAGTAAACTTTCTTCAGTGAAAGCAGTAAGTATAGCTCATCTACCTTTGCAGACAGTAGATTTGTTGGTGTTTAAAAGGACATATAGGAGGCTATCTGAGGTATCCTGTCTAGCATCAGTTCTCCTGCTTTTTTGTTAGATGGGTTCAGATTTTGGACCAAGTCTTTCCAATGCAGGTTGGAAACCAGACTGATTTCCAAGCATAAAATCAGGAAGGGCTCACTGAGATTTCTGTGCTAAAGCAAGACTGCCCACATTGCAAATCATTCTTCTGTTTCACCAGCATTATTTTGCAAGTTTTCCGTAATTTTTTGATGCTTTAGGGATTGAGACTTAGAACTACCATAAAATCACACCATGGTAATGGCAGTAGAGTCTAAAATTTGCATTTGAACAAGAACTGATGATCCTTTTCCCCTGAACCATCCTGTGCATTTAAAACAAGGTAGTAACCACTCATAACCATTTCATAGTTACTAGAAAAGGTAAAACTCACCATACACTGTAATAAACAGACATTTAATCTGCTAGTTCAGGTTACTGAACTAGCTACTTCAAAATCACTAGCCATACTTTAATTCGCTCTCTCCAGACTAGAGCTCAGCTTGAGCTTCAAAATAAGTGTAAGGATAACGATGTCCACCTTTTATTACGGAGTTTGAATCCTGTGCAGACTGAGCACCTGCTGGAACATAGCCCTTTTCAAAACTAGGCAGTGGTGATCTGAAACAGAATTGACCAGTGTACAAAGTTTAAAGCTTACGGGGGACAAAGATGTGTAGAAGTGACCTGATTAAAAACCCTGATCCCTCCAAAAAAGTGAAATTCTCAGCAAGAGTGCTCAAATCCCTCCCACAATAGCAGTTTGTTAGCAACTGAAGTCCAAAGTGACCAACACGTCCACAGAAGCAATTCCATTGCAGCCCCATGCTCTTATACCTGCCAGTGAGTAATTTCCCAAATATGTTTCTCGCTCTTTTAAAACTAGTATTGGATACAAAAATACAACCTAGTTTGTTTTTTAAAACATAGTTTTGGTAATGAAAGCATGAAGGGTATTTTTCAAAAAAAAAAAAAAACCAACCAGATTGATTTAGTAGAGGCTTTAAAACCATCCAGCTGAAACACTTCAGTAACATCTCCTCTCATCACAACTTTAACAGCCTACATCTAAAATAAGTTACTTATTTTGAAGATCAGTATGTACAAGAACGAATGCCACGTGCATCTAGGATGTCCCACCAATAAACAATGCAAATTCCATTTCTGTTCCCCACACACAAGTTAACCGATGTACGCAATTTCTATCTTTCTTCTAGCCTTTTTCGAAAGCAGAGCTGCAACACCAAATCACACCTCCAAGACTGAAAGTTCCTTAAGTTCTCACTTCAGAATTCACAAGTGTACCAACCATATTGTTTTAATTTAGTTGTTAGTATATACATTAACACTCAAAAGTGTGATAAAAACCAAACAAAAGTAGTTTTTTTAATAAACAGCATGTGATACAGACCGCGAAGATAAATAAAAAGCAGACTTTTTACAGTTTCCCATGAACATGAACTACAATAAGTATCATAGGCCAAACTTTTGTTACTTGAGTAGCACAGCAGAAGGGGAAAAGGGTTGTTTTTTTTTTTTTTAAAGGTACTGCAAGACTATTCTCAGTATGACAACACATGCATCTTGCTGCATCTTAAATACTTTTTTGGCCCATTATTACTAAAAATGTCTTGCTTTCTAACTACTTTACCACAGGACCTTTATTACAGAATGACATACACATGGCAACATCCCTCCCGCCCCCCAGTAGTGGTTATTTCAAAGATAATTGTCTCATTTTTAAAAGGTATTTCAAGCACTGGTGGGTGTTTATACTCTCCTTTTGATGCAGACATGTAACTGCTACTACCTTCAACAAAGTTACATAAAAGCACCAAGAGATTACACCCTCCTGGGCTCTATTTATCCAAAATGCCAACAGGATCCTGGGCTGCCTTAGGAAGAGCATGCCAGCAGGTCAAGGGAGGTAAGCCTTCATCCTTCCTCTCTGCTCAGCACTGGTGAGGCCACACCTGGAGTGCTGGGTCCAGTGCTGGGCTCCCCAGTATGAGCCAGACATGGATGTACTGGAACGGGTCCAGCAAAGGGCCATGAAGGTGATGAAGGGCTAGGAGGGGTGGCTGAGAGCTGGGATTGTTTAGCCCAGCGAAGAGAAAGCTCAAGGGGCATCTTGTCAATGTATATAAATACTTGATGGAGAGGAGTAAAGAAGACAGGCAAGGCTTTTCTCAGTGCTGCCCACTGAAAGGACACTAGGCAATGAAACAGAAGAAATTTCATATAAACATTGAGGAAAAAAAAATTACTGTGGATTCTTCCTTCTTGGACAGGCTCTAAACCTAACTGGATGAGGTCCCGAGCAACCTGCTCTAGCTGACCCTGCTTCAAACAGGGCAGCTGGACTAGATGATCTCCACAAGTCTCTGCCAACCTCAACAATTCTGTGTGATTCTGTGAGAGTTCTTGCAATTGTGGTGCGAGTTAGTGACAACAGTACTTTGGAAATTTCAAGCCTGAGAATCCAGGACATCAGACTGCCGCCATATATATTTTAAATCCTTTTCTCTACCAGGAAAGTGGATTTTGATAGTGTATGTGGATATTCACAGTTAAAACTTGCAGAGGTGCAAGGGGGCAAGGGGAAAGGATGATACTTCCAGATGATGAATTATACATTTATCTTCACAAGAGAAGATGAAGAATTTGGACTACAGTGGCTGTAAGACAAGAAAGAAGAGGATTCATCTCTTCCTCCCTTCCTCTTCTTTCCCCTGCCCCAAATGAAACAGTAAGACAACTTTGGACAGCCTGGGGCAGCTGATAATTCAGGATATAGAACACTATTAATAAAGCCCGGGAATAGATTAAATGTCCTTAAACCAAAGAAACAAAACAGAATGAGACTGCAGCTATGAATATCCATGTTTTGGCTCTTAGGGATTAACTAAGATACAGCAGACATAAGATTCTTAGGAGAAACAGCTTCTGCTTGAATTAGGCTTTCTATAACTTCAGCAATATAATTAGGTCAGGTTTAACTGTGATTAATTTAATACTGGAACAAATTCCTAACAAAATTGATGCAGTTACACTGAACTAAATGGTTCCTAAACCAGTTTAATAGCTACTGGGGAACTGGCACTAGAATTTCATAGAAAGTCAGGATAGAGTAAGTGTATTTTTGGCCACCTTTATGCCAAAGGAATATTGTAGCACATACAGAAGTGACAGTAAGGACACTTAAGATTAAGACACATTTATGCAAACCAATGGGGACGCTAGCTTCAAAGTACAGGCAGAGCATTGCTTCAATTGATCTTCTCTTACAAATATTTTATGTTGTTCTTATGCTATGGGCATGTCCCTTTTTTGGGGAAAGGGGTGTTGGAGGGGGAAGGGGAAGAGATAGGGACAGAGGGATCCACCTCTGGCTTAGAGTCAGGAGTGCTAACACAGTAAGACGTCATACTTTTAAAAATCTATCCCATAAAGCTCAGATGTCAAGAATACTGCACTGCTAATTAAGAACAACTATTTTTTCTGAGTGTGGAAAGTCTTTATACTATGAAAGAGTAGGAAGAGGAAACATTTAAGCTAGCAAGTAAGAAAAATCCTGGAAGTCTCAAGAATGAAATTAACGATAGACAAGATTACAGTAGTTATGAATTGGAGAGCTGAAAAAGCTAGTTAATAAAGACTATTCCAAAGTAAAATTGTCAAGTGTTTACCTGGACTGCTAGTAAACATTCCTCATTAAGTGAACGCCTTTCATACTGAATCATATGAATAAGTCATCTGGAACTTTAATATACATATAGTCTAATTCTGATTTCATATGCTGTTGTGAATCCAGAGTGATTCTGATGAAGTCAGTGTTATATCAGCATAAAGTGAAATCAGAATTTCTCAAAGACCAGAGCACCTATAGATTTGGTTAGTGTATGCAGATAGAGAACTTCTATATCCGGTTTCCAGTTGGCTTCCCTTCATTAACACAGATGTAAAAAATAAAAAAACCAAAAAACCACCCAAAAAACCCACACCAACTGCAGGCGTGGTGAGCTACACATCATTTTGGACAGATAGAGCCTTAAACTGAGACAACTTTCAGCACGGAAGAGAGATACAAATTCATTATTTGTATGAAACGTATTGCAAAATTAAAGTGGGATTCAACAATCTGCAACAACATCCACAGCTATATAGTATTTAAAAAAACCAAAACCCAAGTGTGGTTCTTCTTCCATTCAAGTAAAACTAAAACAAGAGAAAGAAGTTAAAAAAAAAATCTTAGAAGCAGCAAGTTACAATTCTTTCTGTAATACCACACCATTTTCATTAACTTGAAGCATTTTCAAGATGTCAAAGACATCAAGAAAATAGTAGTTTCAAGTGGCTTTTTTGATGATTGTTTTTTGAATGGGTCCAGCCCAGGTCTGCAACCTGTACAGACATGCAAAACAGGAGGAATTCACAATTAAGAACAGACATTGGAACATGCCAGTTATAAAATGACAAAGCAAAGAAAATACCTTCAAATTGTCAACAAACATGGGCTACTGACCACTAAAGGGCATTTAATATTTTACATAAAAAGGAAGGTTTGGAAAAAAACCAAAACCAACCCTCCAAACCACCAACAGCAGGGTCATCACATACAAAGTTCTCTACAGGCTTGGCAATTTCTATATTGCCCTTAATATGCAGGCTTATATCTTCTCCGCAAGATGCCAAACCACTAGCAATTTTGGTTTTATTTAAATGCTTTTATTTTAAAATTCTACTGAAAGTCTGTTTCACCTATGAAAAGACTACTAATGCACCCCTTCAGAACTGAAAAGTATGCATATATAAGTCAGTACAGGTGCTTTTTCTGCTACCTTTAGGAAAGCAAAGAATATATTTTTAAGAAAAACCAATCAGCAGCAGCCTGTTCTGTCATTAAATCAAACATAGTTTCACAGTTGAAAAAGTTACTGTTTTTAAATTTGTATTTCACTAAATTGCCATTTCCTAATGTTTTGTAATAAAACGTATGGCCCAATCCTGGGCTCCTTGCTCTGGTAGTCCTACTACAAAGTTTTGCAGGAGCAAGGTGTTCAGATTCAATTCAAGCTCAAAATAAGCTACTTAGTGTTTTGTGCAGCTGACTCTCAGAATAAAGGGAACATTTTCAAATCTCCATGAAGTGGGAATAGTTAAAAAATAAAAATCCAAATTCCAAGCAATCTCGGTAAAAATCTAGAGCTCAGTTACAGGTGCTTTCACAGTCTGTAAGCAGGTCTTATTTCTGATACTGAGAACAGATGACATCCTCTCATTTACACCAAAGTAAGTAAAAAGTACCTCCACTATCTTCAGTGAAGTTACATCAGCACAAAACTGGCATAACAGGATAAGGTAATTAGGGTTGAACACTGGAAGCTTAAATAGTACCTCCACTATCTTCAGTGAAGTTACATCAGCACAAAACTGGCATAACAGGATAAGGTAATTAGGGTTGAACACTTGGAAGCTTAAAAAAATTTTTTTTTTTCCTGAAACACTGGCAGGATGTTTTTCAAATGCCCATCCTGGTTATGGTAAGAACAACTGCTTAAGTCCATGAACTTCTATTTTTTTTTTTTATTTAAAAGCTGTAATTACCCAAAATCATATTATGTCTGTATCACTATGAAGTTTCCTTTCTTTTACTCTTTGACGTTCATAATCACTTCTACAGCTTGCGCACAGCATTTAGTTGCGGGAACTTGTGGAAACAGAGCCAGATTCCTCATACATTTGTGCAAAAAGGGTGCAGAACCCTGTATGGTTGAACTGAAAGACATTTATACTTGTATTTACAGAAGTAAATGGCTAGGAAGGGGCAAAGTACAAAAGAAGTTGGGCTGATAACATCCAATAACCTTGAGTTGATCTTTTCATCCAGGCTGGAAAAGGCTGACCATCTCTTAGATAAACGAGGTAAAGCATTGTTTCAATACCAGATAAATAAGGATAATATAGCACCTAATGTGGCATCTGTGCAAGTTTTACTCAGTTAAATTAAGAGTTACAGCCAACAGGGTCTCAGATTTTGTGAGCCAAATTTAAACTGAAACTAAGCCATATTTTAAAAGAGCTAAACCATTAGAGTGTGTTGACTGCGAAGTAATACATACAAGGGTAATTTTGCTCTAGAAAGTATGACCAAGGTTAGCAGGAGTTAAGTTATTCATATGAACAGAAAGGAATATGTAACAGTCAACAGAAAGAGTAATGGGAAGTCTATTAGACTACTCCAAAATATTTAGTAGAACTAAGGAAATAAAACTTCACATTCCTCATACCAATCTTGGAACTTCTGAAGTTTTCACAGAAACAGGTTTCCCCCTACAACATCAAGTATCCGTGTGTGCAGTAATCAACTGCAGGATCTTGACTATGAAAGTGTCTTGAAAGACCAAAAAGTCTTGGCTTTACAATCCCCGAAGTCTTTCATAACGTAATTGATTGCACATTTTTAATATATTACAATTCGCTAAATGAAGCCAACCACTCATTACCTCATCAGTACAGCCTGCACAAAGTACAATTTATTTATATACTTATATTCTAATCTAACACCAGCTGTCAGCATATTTTATATTACATGTGGTATTGCACTTTGAGTGGCACCTCGGTGTGTGTTTGCAAGTGAAAGAGCTGAACCCCCAAAAGCCCCAGACCTTCGGAATTCACTCCAAGTGCTGCCAATCTAGCAAGTTTAAAATGTTAGGGTGAACATCACCCTCAGAATCATGGGCTTCACTAATTAAAAACCTGTTTAATAATTAGAAAAACAGTCCTACCTGAAGTTGTGCATAAGGGCAATCTGAAATCCTCGGTACTCTGAACAGTTTCAAAAAGTGGTGCCAATTTAACTGATTGCACACATCGTAATTGTGTTAGAGGACAACAACTAGATTTACAAATATATATTACACACACACACATAAAACAGACAAAGCTATAAAATGTTTGGTAACTCCACATGCTTTGAGCTAGCCAGCATATCTGCTGTATGTTGAACTGCTTATTATTGATCATATTGAAAATCTAAACTGCTATTTCTGATGTATCTGTTACTGGATTAAACAACCACTTCCAAAGGAGGAAGAAAGAAGAGAAATGGTGGACCCAAAGATTGAGGGTTTAAACATACGTTCCTTGAATAGCCAGCATATCACTTCATTAACGTGAAGAGTGATGCCCAAAAATTTTTGAAGAGACTTAGGCCAAGTTCACCTCTGGCATTAGTGGGTGTATCTCCCACTACTTCAACGGTACTTGTGTCCTCTTTCACCAGGGTTGAATTTGGTCCTAGGAGTATATCTGGTCACCTTCAGTGACGTTAGTGGAAACGGGAGTCTTGGACAGATAGAACTGGGCTGCAAAATTAAAAGAGTGAATATTGGACAAATCATGTAAATAAAGAATATATATTAATAATAGTTCCTATTATATAAATAGCCTTTATAAAAAAATAATCTTTCAATAATTTTAATAACTCACCTTTCTTTAGGTTCTGGAAAACATGTATGAAAAAAATCTATTCAGTTCAAGTTAGATTAAAGCAAACCTAAGATGAACACTACAACTCTCTGTTGCACTAAACCCAATTCTGACCATTCAAATTTCCAGGTTAGTCAGTTTTTGGGGATGATAGGGAGTTTTTGTGAAGGTATGAATTGCACCCCTAGAAACACTGAGCAGAAGAAACACCATACTGAATGGGCCTATTTCCTACTGCTTTCAGAAATGGTGCAGATGACAGACCCAGAAATCAAAGTGTCATCTAAACCCCATAAATGTTAATGCCTCTGAGCACATTTAAAAGGCACTGTCCTCTCACTATTGTTTTTAGATCTTTGAGCTTAAAACTCCTTCCCTTCAAACTATGCTGCATTTAAATGTTCACTATCACTTGAATTTTCTTTCCACTCTTCTCAATCCAGCATAGTCTCTATCTGCTGTACCAGATCTAAGGTAATATGTGATGGACTATGTTCATGCTAGCACTATTTTCTTTTTCCTTCTAATTTATCCTATCAAATGAAAAAAGGAAACATTCTTCCAAGTTTACCTTTTTGGGCTTAAGGCATAACATGAAGTCACACATCATACTAAAGCTTAATTTTTGAAGTGTACAATTTTAGTGCTATCTGAAACCCTGTTTTACATTATTTCGACAGTTGTCTGAACAGTTCATCTCTTTTGTTGCCATAAATTCTAATGTTGTTCGTGGTTTGTGCAATTCCTATGCAACCAGTCTTTGCTGCTAACGGGTATTAACAGTGCAGTACCCACAAAGTGGGCTATCAGTTCTTGTTTTCTTTGCTTTCATTTCAGTTCAAAGCATGTTGCTTTATTGTGTGGAAGATCCAGTCCATTTTTGTTGTCCAGCCACCATGGTGAGCATCATTCATTTGTTTCATGAAGTACTCAAGAGCTTCCTGCTCAGTTTTGTCCAATGCAAGGGTCTTTCGAATGTATGCAATATCGTCAAAGGACTGCAGTTCTGGCATTCCTGAGCCAAGCATCATGGAGAAGAGATTTATGAAGAGATTGGCATGCTGCCGAATTGCTAGATAAGCCTTATAACACATCTCCTGAAACCTGGAAGAGACACGGGGAAAAAAGCTCAGTGTTATTTCCTTATTAGATGCATATTACTTCTTCACCTCCGAAACAGTTTTCGGGTAACTGGACACTAAAAAAGTAGGCAGTCTTAGTCCAATAAGAACACCATAATGTTGCTGAGAAAATATCCTCATCTTCCTACTCAGGTTATCTTCATTTCTGTAAGAATTAGTAATGGTCAGACTAATGCAATAGCCAAACTGAAGACAGGCTTTTTAGCCTGAAACCTCATTTGCAATTCATGCAAGCGTTCCACACAAGTTTATGGGAGTTCACAGAGCCATTTTAGTCATTGCTACTGACATTTCAGATTTCAAAGCACATTTCATGATATACTGCTGCAAACAGTGCTTTCCTGGTTATCGTCAGAGATGCACTTCTCTCCCGTAGTTTTATGAGGGCAGTAGCTGTTGCTCCTTAGATACTCTGGAGAATGCATTGAAGACAGGGGCATTTGCTGTATTGGGTGAGAAATACCCGTTTATGCTGAAATCACTAATTTAAGTCAGGTTAAGAAAAATGCAAAAAAGCTTCACTGCAGCATTCAGACAGACAACTATAACTTAACTTAAAAATCTGTCTTCCTCTCCCGCAACATAATGAAATTAAGATTAAAATTGAAACCTCTCAAAGACTAGATATCTGGAAAGACAGATATTAGGAATGACTACAGCAACAGAATTTATTTATTTGTTATTATTTTAAAGTTCTCCTTTCTTAGTAGGTTCTGCAGAATGTCACAAACCACACCAGCCAGCTGAAGAGCTGATACCACAGCAGCTATAGGAGAGAGAAGTATTGCTGAGTGACCAGTAAGGCTCTGATGCGCATTACACCTGACATTTAAGAATTCTCCATTTTTACAGCTATGCAATCCCAAGAGGATTTTAAGTGTTAAATAAAAAAAGATTCAGATAGTAAAAAAAATTTATCTTTATTCACATGTGTGCTGACCCTGCAAAGCTAAGGTGAGGTTTCATGAACTGAAGGCCACATAAGCACTAAGATCACCTACTGATTTACAAGTGGATGGCTGATCTTCAACTAAAGAATTAGAACATACTCACTGCAAGCCAATTAAAATACTAATTTTCAGTTAGAAGGCCTAATTATTAAAGGTCACCAGTAGTAAAGTGCATTTTAGGTACAAAATACTTTGGAAGTTAAATGCTTAAAAAAAAAGGCTCACCTTTCAAACTCCCTTGTTTTGGTACATTCTTGGGCTCCTTTACTAATCACTATTAAAAAGTCTTGTGTTAAGACAAATGGCACACGCTCTCTTTTATAGCCAAATTTTTTCTTCTTGTGATCGAGGAAGTGCCCAAAGTCAATGTGAAACAGCTTGGAAAGACAGAAAGTTATTTTAAGATTAGTAATTCCTTGTTTAAATGATGTCATAGTAAAATTGATCATTTACTTATTATTCAGATAGATTTTTTTTTTTTAAACAAACTCTAATCCAAGGGAGAGATGACATTAGGCTATGGTTTTAGAAAAACATATCTTACTTGTCCATCATCTTTTACCATGATGTTACTATTGTGGCGATCACCAATGCCCAGTATAAAGGTAGCAACACAGTAGCCGGCACAAGAACGTGTAAACAAGTCAATAGCTGCATCATACCTATTGAAAACAAAGGAGACATTTTCCTACAGATATTCTAATAATACAAAAGTGCAGATTTTTTTCTTCCTTCCCATAAAGGAAGGACCAACTACTACTGTTTTCTCTCAATGAAGCAGAGTTTCTGGACTTTATCAAAGTAAGGAAGAAATTCAGTGTACTCTGAAAACAGAAGTACTTACAGCTACATCACAGAACAGTAAACTAGCTATTAAAATGACTGTCCCTCTTTTGAAGGCCAGCAGTTTTCATTTTGATGAGCTACTGTTAAAATACAGACTTAAGCCATATCTTCATAGTTCTACCTCCAACTTACGCTTTACTGCTGAGAAGTCACACAACCACCCAAACTCATTAAAAGAGCTACAGGCAGGAATACTAGGCAAACAAGGGCAGGGAAAAACCTAAAAACAGATGGACATAATTTCCCACTTGATGAACTTCAGTTCTCTTGAAGTTTCCATCAAAAAGAGCACATGAACAAGAAAAACAAGCAACAGGAAATCTCACATTTCTCCTTTGTTCTTGTCCTTCAGCCACTGATGCAACGTATGGCTATTGAACTGCAATGCCCCTTTTAAGCCTCCTTTACACTGAATCTGCATGATCGTATGAGAACTCCTCACTACCTCGATGAGTCCCACACAGTCACCGATAGACAAACAACCATAAGGCAACATCCTGAAAGACAAAGGTTTTTTTACAGAGTTAAGTTTTAAGACAAAAAGCAACAGGCATGTCCGATAACCCCTATCAGGTGAGTGTCATCTGTTACTTTAGGATATGAAAATCTGTTTTAATATTTATAGGTGTATTATCATTAGTCTTGTGGAAAAAAATGTACCAGATATTTGATAGACAAACAACCATAAGGCAACATCCTGAAAGACAAAGGTTTTTTTACAGAGTTAAGTTTTAAGACAAAAAGCAACAGGCATGTCCGATAACCCCTATCAGGTGAGTGTCATCTGTTACTTTAGGATATGAAAATCTGTTTTAATATTTATAGGTGTATTATCATTAGTCTTGTGGAAAAAAATGTACCAGATATTAGTACAGTAACATGCCAGCCACTGTATCCACCAATGTCATTCTTCAGTTTTATATCAGGACAAAAGGTTAAAGCAAAATTTTATTAACATGTTCTTGGAGGCCTTGGGGAATACACTGGAAAAACCCTTAAAAAGGCATTCAGCATGATTTAACGAGATCTATTCAATTATACTCAGAGTGAAGTACTAGGGACAGAATCTAAGCATTCAGAAAACAAATGTTAGGATTTCATGGGTTTCTGTAAACAAGTAGCAGGTAATACTTTGTATGTAAAACCAGCATGGGACCTTCAAAATAAGTTTCTGAATAGTACCTGATTATATTACAAAATTGTAACTGGAATCTATAGCCAGCAACATTACAATTTATCCAGATGTTAATGGACTATCTGTAAACAGATGTTTATTCATGGACTCTTTAAAGAGCATCATAAGTGACTTTTTTGTAATTTAAGTGAAACTCAAAGGATAATCTCAGTAGTCCATTTTTCTCCTTACAAGTAGAAGAAATGAATTCCTCTGCCTCCCTTTTCTTTCACAGGCCTCTTTCCTCGCCCTCCCCCAAAGTCTGTATTTCTTCTATTACATTCAAAACATTTTATCTGAGAAAACCAAGTCAAAACCAATCTTTTATTCAAAAGACTGAAAGAAACATGGCCACTACCATGTTTAACATCCTCTGTTAAAATATTTGGGAGAGAGGGTCAGGTACCTAAAAGCAGCCCTCTTCTCTCCTGAAGTTTCCTTTTTGGAGCAAAAGTGTCATACCTATAGAGTAAAACAGCCTTCTAGGAACACTGGAGTATCGGAAGGTTTTTTTGTGATGCCATGGTAAAAACCCTAGAAAAAACAATTTATCATGGCTTTCTATTAGACTTCATAATCTACAGAACACCAGTGCAATGTGTAGCCAGTGGCAGAGCTGACTGCTGGTGTTGCCGTGGAGGTGGGCTTCTCCACTCTGGACTAACAGCACTTTATTTGCAGGTACTAAAAGTATATTTATATCTACCTATCTACACTTGCATTTTTAGATAAAAGTCTGATTTGGCGATCAAAGAAGAACAGTGAGACCCATCCATTTTCTTAAGGATGTGGCATAAACTTTGGACTGTTAGACTTTCTGTACCATAGAGACAGAGTTTAGTGGCGTTAGTGGGATGAGTTGCAATTTCTAGATCCTCAAAAGATTTTCTTTTTGTCCTCTAGTGTAATCTGTAGCTTGCTCAAGACTCAGAGTCCATCAGCTGCCTCATCTTGCATGCTCATTTCAGTCTTTCAGTATAGCAGACTGACAGCTGGGAGTTTTTTTGTGGTTTTTTGTTTGTTTGCCTTTTTTTTTTTCCTCCAATCAGCCTGTCACTTACACCATACCTATTCAACTTCTCTTCTAAAGCTCCATGCCGCCTCTTTAAGAACAGTGGCAATAGGTGGGAGAGAATGTACTTTGCAGACCATAGCTGGCTACTCTTTAAGACACAAGCACTGTGAACTCTGCAAACCATTCTTGGACAAAGCCATAATTCTGTCACTCATTACAGTACTAGAGACAAAAGAGTTGCCCAGACACATGAGAGATTATGTAGATCAACAGGTCCTTTCGTCTAGATGAGGAGGAAATGAGAACTGGGGGTGCAAAGAACATACTTGGTTTGATAGTGCAGAGGCAGCTCTGTTACGCCACCACCTAAAAGTCTGCCACACAGCAAACGCATATTTGGAAGCGTGACCTGTCTAGCATCAGTTTTCCAGAAGCAGAATAGTTTATACTGAATGGCATTCTGCAGAAGCTACTGCACTCACAGACTATTTAGAGGTGGAGAAGCTGCATGCATATCAGACTGGGTAATACCCACTTTGTGTACCAAAAAGAAGATACCAACTACAAAGAGTCATCGCTCAACAGGGCTGCAAGTTTGGCAACTTGTTCGAAGCAGATCCTACAGATACCATCAGTAGACCAGAGTGTGGCTAGTGTGTATTAGCTCTTTTAGTGGTATGTAGATCCCTCACACCCACTTGAATGAGGCTTAAGTATTTGTCAAATACGATCTTACCTTTACAGAATCCAATACTTTAGCTAACTAAAGGTTATTAAAAAAATTAAAAATTGCTCTAACATGTACTAACATGCCTATTTATAGCATTTAATGTATTACCCTTGGGATAACAGAAGCAATCTCTGGTAAGAAACCAATGCAAAAACCATTAAGAGCAGCATTGCTTGAGAATGACCTCTAATGCTTACCGAAGATCAAGACCCTGATTTTGCCAGATGTTTTCCATAATTCTAATTATCTGAAGTGTCAACATGTCCTGACGCAAGTCTGGAATAGTCAAATACATAGAGATTGCAAATTTCATAACACCAGAACACTTTGTTACATCTTATTTTACCTTTCCCCCCAAAAGTATGTCTAAAGGAAACGAGGCTTGCATAGTTTAGTGTAGGTTTTGTTCTCTCAATAGAGAAAAGCAGATTTTAAATAGTTGAGAATGAATATAAATTTGTGGTGGCGATTTCAAGGCTGTTTAAAAATATACACTAAAAACATGACAATGGAATTACAGATTACACAACTGTAATATCCTGAAGACATTTTCAAGTAAAAAACCCAAAGTATTAAGTAGTATCATGTTCCACCTCAACAGACCGAGCATCCTATAACATACAAAATTTGTACATGACTAGGACACATACTTATTTGTGCATGCTTAATTCTTCTGGAAACGAAAATTGCTTTGCTCAGATGATCTTAAATTTTTTTTTTCAATATATGTATTTTATATGTTTAGAAAAAATACTAAACAGTAGGTTAGGAAAACAAACAGATATGTAGCTTTTGGATTACACTTATTTTTCCTTACCATCTCCATTTTTAAAGATTATCTCATTGTTCTGAAACAACAATTCAGACATAATATCTGGGTTTTCCCAGTTCAACCACAAGGGCCTTTTTGCAGATGACATTATCCTGCACTCCTCAAGCCTATAAAAGAGATAAGATTTCTATGAAATAGGCACAATTTGATTCTCATACCATGTTTCTGTAATACTACTAAGTTATCCCTGTTTTCTTCAAACTTTGAACTAGTATCAAATTAAAGATGCACAGGTAACCAACAATCAACCATTTTTACTTTCAGCTTCAAACTTAGATTACTAAGTGCAATGTTAACTATTTGCTAAGCCCAGCGAAGAACTGGCTATATTGTAAGTTTTCCTTTAGCAGCGTGTGTTCCTTACAAATGGAAAAAGGACTGCAGACTAGGTAATACCTACTTTGTGTACATTTCCTTACAAATGGAAAAACTCCTGTCACCTTAAAGGAACAGCTGTCATGTTGTTCCCCAATTTATTAAACCATTAGATTGAAACTGCTTCACTCTATGAATTACTCTGCTACAAATTTTATTCAGTTAACTTTGAAGATAGTAACATTTAGTATGTTATCATTTAACCTTAACATTGTTAATGTTAACATTACTAAACATTTACTTAAATATCTAGACAAATTTCAAAACTGAAGACAATACCGAAGATTTCCTAGTTGATGTGCAGGATTAAGAGGAGAGATAAAACCTTGTAAAGCATCCATAAAATCTGGCCGTCTCATTTGTTCAACAAGAAACTTCATCTGTACCTGATAAATAATCACATTCAGGTTTTGAGAACACTAATTACATGTAAATGAAGGTTAAGTGTCAGATTTTAGCTTTGGTTTTAAAGCATGGTTTTGCACAGTTCCAACATAAGCAACTCCGCTTAGCCACATATTACACAAATTGAAACCCTTAACTTTAGTTCTATTGCCTTAAGAAGTAGACAATGGCAATGCACACAGAAAATATTACAGCTTCTAGGATAACATACTATCTATTGAAGTTAACATTAATACTTTTTAGTTAATCAAATAAAACACAGTTCTGCAATTCCTGTGACTCAACAGCAACAATTTTGGTATGTGCACAACTTATAATACCTTCTGTGTCTCATCTTTTTTTTCCTGCTTGAGAATATCTGTGAGGTTAATCAACTTCTCCATTGCCTCCACCTGCCTGCTCAGATGTTTTAGGTACATTCCACATGCTCGACAATAGGACTCCAGAAGTAAACCAAACCTCTGACTTACAGTTTTATTGTGCATTTCAGACCTACACAGAGAGGAAGAACAGTTATAGCTTAAAGACAAGACCACTCAGAGGTGCCAAAAATGAAGCTATACCTGTAACATCTTTCCTGAAGGCTGTTTATGGATCCTTCTTTTCACATAAATAACTTGTATTGACCTCCTACAAGTCATCTTGTTTTGACTGAACTAATCAGACTTCAGTACCCTTTACAACTAATTCAGCACAGAGTTGATAAACTTTTTCCCCATTCCTTCTTGCTTCATCCTGTCCTTCTCTACCCCTTGCCTTTGTTCAAAATCCATGCTTCCCAGAAACTCTGTAGTAAGCCTCAAGCTTTCAAGTCAAGTTCCAGATTTCCTTGCTAAGAGCAAAGCTAACCTGTTTCATTTTCTCCTTGTCTCATTTAGCCAATCCCAGGCTGTGGCCCCTCTAGTTTCCTTGTTCTTACCTACTCTCAGTCTTTGCACAGTCCTAAAATACATCCCCTCAAACAAGTTAATAAGGCAACTTATTCCATTATCCTTGATGATTACCAAGGGAAGTAGAAAACTGAAAGCACAACAAAAGATTCCTTGCTTCTATTTCTGTGTCTGATCACAGTATCTTAGAACAGCATTTTAGGTGAGACCTAGCTACAATCCAGTATGCTGTAGGCTGATTTATGCTTAGCCTTCTCAACACCAGGAATTACAAAAGCCCATGTTATACTTAGTAAGGAAGAACACTGAGATATTTTGGCTATCAAGCTCTATGAAGTCTTTAATAAGCATGTACGAAAAGTTATTTTTCAAAGCCTTATCTGGTCAAATTGGGTGGCTTTCTTTAGGCCTCAATTATTTCTAAAATTTTCTGGAAGAGACTGGTGGGGGATCTGGCATACAAGATAAAGTTCAAACAGCAGAATCTGTCAAAGTTGTAAACACCTAACAATATGGGAGGCTTCCAGCAATCTTAGTTAGACTACCCTGCTTTTAGAATCATTAGATAAAAAGAAGTACAAGACTAAGTATCTATTATTAACTAGCTTTTGAAACTGCAAGGGATGACTTCTATTACCAAACTATGCATTCAAACTCTTAAGTAATATAAAACAAACTTTAAGCGGTAATATTTTCCTAAAAAATGACATTTAGCATGCCAAGCCTTTAGAACAACTAATTGTTTACAGCTAGTAAGAATCCCACCACCCCTTAGTATGATATTAAGCTTACTTTAAATGCCAAAAGAAGAAGTGTCCTATCCTTTGATTGGTCAGTGCCTTCTTGAGTAAAAATCTCACAAGCTGATTATCTAAATACTGTTCATATTTCAGAACCTAGTTAAGGATAAAGAGAACATAAAAAAAAGTATCAGCTGCAGTTATTATTTCTATGAACAATATACAGATTAAAGGTAGTTAAAAAAAAGCAATCTGTGTTTTACATCAAATTTTGTAGAATGACTTATCTTAGTATTAATACTTGCATATGTTAGGATTTGAACAGTATCTGCTAACAGTAGATTGTCTGCCTCTATTTCAGGAACTTATCTGACACTTCCTTTACTGTTACCAAATATTTTAGCCTCAACTTGCTCAAAGTTTTGAGAAGATGCTTCTGCTCATACTTTCCCCATATGTTACAACAGCTGAAATAGCTGCCTGTTCCAGTTGGTAGAACAGTTCTGCATCTCTGCAAAATGTTGGCATTTAATATCAACAAGCAAAACCACAGCACTACAGAAAGTGAACATTTCACCTCCTCCTACTAAATAATCCACAATGCAAACAGATACTTTTGATGACCTCTTTTTCACATCATCTTAACTTTTGTTGTATTTTAAGCCTCTGTGATCATCGAATATACACAAGACATCAAGTATACCAAAATATATTATATACCTGTACTAGCTGGATTAAGTACTGAGACAGTTTGTCGTCTGTCAAGTACTTCTCTAGACACCGAACTGCAAAAGCTCGCACCATTGGATCTGGATAATTACAGTCCAAAAGCTCCATTGCTTGCTCTGGCTTGATTGGAGGCCAATCTTTTACCAAACAGTACATCTGTGGACAAGAAGTCCAAGCACGTTACACATTTGCATTGATTAGGAAGAAGTAATACACAGCCATTAGAAGGTATCATCAGACACAAACTGCTTCTGAGTAGAAGCTGTTTACTTGCCAGTCCTCTCTCAATAAACAATTTTGTATTAGTTGCCAGCTGACTTTGTTATTTTATCCACTATAAAAAGAATGAAAACAAAACCTCACATTTAACTGTAATTGACAAATCAGCAACATAACAAGGATTCGAGTAACACCACCAAGAGAAAATCCTAAGACTCAAACTGAGCTAAAGAACAAGAACTATGGACCAAACTGATCAGTCAGTTATAGTGGCAACTTGAATCATCTGAGTTTACGTTCGAGGTATCACGCACAGATAACATGTTTTTAAATGCCAGAAGTTTTCTTTAAAATTGCATATTTTAAAAGCTTCTTCAAAACTTAAAGCTTCTTCAGTGCTATATGTTACCTGGGCCACTTCATCTCTAGAATTCCATTTAACAGACAAAAGTAATTTGGGCAGAATTTCTGGAGTATTCACGCAATAGTGTCTGCAAAAGAGAAGAAAAGTTGTATGTACGAAATGTCATTTTTGCTTCAATAACCATCTACTATGTCCCCTCAGTCTTGCACCTTTTTCTTCCTTTGTCAGCAGAACCCGATTGATACCATAAGGTGGTGTCAGGATCCATGCATGAAGGTAAGACTGCAGTAACGGGGAAAATGTGAATGAAACTAATTCAACAACTTTTCTCCATGGGCTTATGAACCAAGGCATACAATGCAGAATGCTTTAAAAGCCTTTTCTAAAGCACTAACCCTAACAATACAGAATAAAGCAAAGGGAGGAAAGCCCAAGACAATCATGACAAATTTGGAGTGAATGAGGTGAAGTTTGATTGTGACAACAAGGGTTTTTCTTTGGTTTGGTTTTTGTTTTTAAATACCTGTGGCTCCAGAGGAAGTCCTTCTCTTGCTCAGTGATTTCAGACAAAGGATCTCGTGTACATATGGCTCGCAGTTGCTCCTTGTCACTTTCTCTTAATTCGTTATCTCTAGCTATTCTGTTACTCTGCAGAGAGAAAGTGGTCCATTAACCCTCCACACATTTCCTTCTGTTGTCATACAACATACATGAAGTAAAGTATTTTAACAGTATAGCAACACTTATAGCTTATGTCATGCTATACTATCTGGTTGTTTCCTTCTGTTATAACTGAGGACTTACAATTTAAAAATAGAGATATGAAAGACTAGGTCTTTGATTTCTACAACTGCTTTTAGTCACTACTGGGACAAGAAGAGGTACATTTCAACTAAATCAGCTGTGTGGAGAAATAGCAGCAGTTGACATCTGATGAACAACACAATGCAGCACAAAATGAAACTGGTCATTTCTGTTTCCAGTTTTGAGATTGCTGAAAGCTGCTGAAAGGAGTGAAAAAGAATCAGAACTGAAGAAGCAGAATATGAGAGGTGAAGCTAGGTAAATAAGAGGTAGAACACTGTAGGAAAGCCTGAGTAACAGGAAGAGTAGAAAACATTAACCAGAATTAGTATAAGATATTCCCCAAAGAGCACAGAAAACAGAACTGGTACACGCTGAAATTAATTTTTTTCTAAGACTTCATTTATTAGAGCCAGCTTAGACCAATGGCAGAGGTATTGAAACTACTACTACTTGATTTTTCACAGCTCATGTGCCAAGTTCAATTTTTCTCCTATACTTTCCATTTCTTAGTTCATTTGATGTATTTTTCACAAAGCAACATATGAAATTATGCAGTTTCTGAGGTTTCAACTACAGGATCAATTGCACTGCAAAAAAGAGAAATCTTAAGCAGCTTATAGTATTGCCTTTAGTATAAAATACAACTGTAACAAACAAGTTTGACACTTAAGATGAAGCTATCCCAAAAATTCTAGAAGAGTTGAACAGTGTTTTTATAGTGAACTCACATTTTCACACCTGTATGATACCTACTATTACAAGAGAGTAAGATCAATTCTTTTCCAAGTTCAAAATGTTTAAACTGTAGAACGACAGTATTTGACCTCTTGTTCTGCTCCTTCCCTTAGGCAATTTCTACTGAGCACATTAAACAAGATAAGTAAGAACGAACTAAGCTTTGTCTGCCAATTTTGTTGATGGAAATTTTCAACTGGTTGAACTAGTACTTTGAAACAGAAATACCTACATGTCTTTTACAGAAAGTCTTACCTATGCATCTAGCTTTTTTTAAAAAAAAAAAAAGCTGAAGAAAAGAACAATCTGAAATTTCCAGGTAGGAGATCAAGGCACCCTTTAAAAGGTGAAGTGGTGTTATTTCTAGGAATATGCACAGATACAGAAACAGTTGTCAGATTATACCACGATATCTACTTCAGACTGAAAGTTTTGGACTTTACATTTATCTTTAATTACATAAATTATGCGTTCTTATGATGGGTTCACTACTATTATAGGGGACAAGAATATTCTGGCCTTCAAGCTTACATCTACCAATATTAAGGTATGAATCAACCAACTCACAGGATTTTTAGTACCTTGCCCTGTTAGTAGTGTGATAGTGTGAGATCTTAGTGCACCAACATGTTTAATTATTGTTCTGAAGTACATGGACTGGACTTAGAAGTGGGGGGAATTATTCAGGACTACTCTATGTGGCACAGGAAAATTTCTGGAACACATTCTTAAATATTATGGTAACGGATACAGTGCAAGCAGCAAAGCCAGAGTCATTCTGTAAGGAAGTTAATGGATAAATGACTTTATAATCACCCTAATCCTGACATAAGATCAAATAGTTGATATTGAACAAGTGATTAATTGTACACATTCATCTTGATTCTGAAAGAGTCATCCTAAATAATAAGTGAAAGTCAAAAAAGTATAAAATGTACCTGCATAGTGGGTCAGAAAGATCATAGTTTAGGTCAAGCCCAGAAGGAAAATGCATTTATCCTGTTGCGGTCAACACCAAAAACTTGAAATTCTATGAATTGTGGGACAGTAAATTAGATTTAATATTTGAAAATTCTTTCATATTTGAGATATTAATGGACCTATAAATGATGTCTTATAAGTATGTATTGGTTTTAAATGCAGTGCAATGCATTTCAAGGTTAAACAAAAAAGTTATGCTCTTTGTATCATAACAAAAACATTCATATTGAAGTCATACCTCAGCGACTGCTTTGCTGATTTTGACCATTTCAAATAAGCATTTTTACCTCTTTCAAATATGGCCACACAGTAATCTAGTATCCGATTTTTGAATGAGTAACAACACATTGCCTTTTAACTCACTGAACATAGCTAATATTACAAACAGCTATAAATATGCACAGTACCTAAATATAGAAAGTTTGGCTTCAGACCTGAAGACACCACACATTAGAAGAAGTTAAGGGGACAAATACAATACTAAGAGATAACTAGTGATGTTCAAACTTACCAAACATTTAATGAAATAATTTAAGAAAGGGGAAGTAATAGAGGATTTTGGCAGACAACAAGGAGGGTTGAAAGAAAAGCTGCACGAATAATGAGAAAGAGAGACCAAAGCAGTGATATACAGTTTGTTTCCCTGTCAACTTAGTCATTGATGCAAACAGTGGTTAAATATGGAGAAAGCCTATGACCTTCTATAGTACTGTAAGGATTATCACAAAAAAAGGCAATAATTTTGAGACTTTATTCTACCTCAGAAAGTTGGTTTTTTTTTTTTTAAATTGTAAAGTGTCAGTTGATCATTACTTTGTCACTGAAGTGAGAGCTTATTCTCCTCACCATTTTCTATTTTTGCCTACAGATGGAACAAAACAATGAGTTGAGCATATAAGCCCAGGTAATAGGCTGTGTTATAGCAAAGGAGTGTTATTTACCGAGAAGCCAGCTGTCCTTAAACACTTAAGAGCCCTGCACTCAGTCACAATATATACCATAAGCAGATATGCCACTCTGTGATGGACTTCCTGTGGAGTACCAAGAGAAATCAAATGCCTACAACCCTTTGTTCAAGATATGTTGAGATGGGACTGTTATAAATATCACCAGAATTCCCAAACTGGAAGTTTACTGACACCTACGCACTTTTTGGCACAGCGAAACTTTCCACCCAGAGACTCTTCTTCCCCAAGAGAGCTTTGTGGTCTGTGTGAAACTCTCAAGTCTTTGAACCAGCCTCCAGAAGAAAATGTAAAACATACCAACTAATTTCACAGCCTTGTCTTTAAATACATAGCATTTTTAGCTTTACTGCTTTTCTTTTTTTCTCCTTTTAATCATACAAAATGCGCTTTTAAGAAAGCTCCAAACCTCACCAAAAAGCCAATTGTCAACGCACAGATTTTCTTCATGGAAGGGAGGAGATAAAGGACTACACTCATGTATATGCCAATCAATTCCCTTAGAATTCCCTGTACTTATGGTCATAACTAGTCCATTAAGCAGCCAGTAAAGAGTTATAAGCACCTTTAGGTAGACTTTCTTTTGTAACCTATAGACATGAAATTGCAACAAAACAGAACAGTATCATTGAAGGAGAATTACAACTTTTGAAAAGTTAAACTAAGTAGTTTAGACATCTGAATTAGCGATATAAAAAATGTCAAAAAGGCTCTAACAGTTTGGACAGTAAGACAGTTTCTCTTTAAAGTGTTCTGGTTGGTCAGTGAAGCATTAGGTCAGTTTACTGGTAATATAAAGGAAGAATATATTGCTCACTCTGCTAAACACAAAACAAAAAATTGATTTCTTGCTTTTACAATAAATCAGGATACATGAAAAAAGTTCTCTTTATCACTAATATACTGAGTAAAATAAATAATACTTTTGTATTTTAGTAGCTGATCTCAGAAGGGGAGTTTGCCTTACCAGCCCTGCATAGCTGTAGTTAAACCCCAGTTCACGTGATATAGTCCAATTGGCATGTTCTTCAATCACCGTCATATCTGGGAACTTTACAGGATTGCTAAACCAATCAAATTCCAGCTCTAAACATGGAGTTTCCTATGTAAAGGAAATTTAAATTACTTTTTCTGTTAAATGATACTAATTATAATACAGCATATTTTGAAAATGTACTCCCTGAAGAGGAAACTGGCATGCAAATATTTACCTTATTTGGATTTGATCCAGTAACACCAATAGGATTCAACAAATCCTCCAGCCCATGAGGTACTGCCCAAAGATTCAAAGCCATTTTTCCAGATACAAGAGTGTCTGTGTAATCAAACATGTTTATATTTCCCCAAGCCAAAGGACAGTGCTCCTTAAAGAGATTAAAAGATGATTTTTCAGTGTCATCTATTCCTTACTGCAGAGTGAGTCAGAAGAAATAACATTTTCACCCCAGAGCAAGTTGTTATATTCCCAGATTAGCAGAAAGCAGGTTTTCAAGCTGTACTATATTTTTCTACGAGCGACTGTTGTGGCAGTCATTCTGCAGAATGATATCAGAACACTTGCAAACACATGCTAACATTTTCCCCACATCAAAATAACTCAAGATGATGGAGAGAGAGTTTTTTTGACAGAAACTTTTTACCAAGGCCTGTAGTGACAGAACAAGGGGCAACAGTTTTAAACTGAAAGACAATAGGTTTAGAATGGACATAAAGAATTTTTTTTTTTTTTTTTTTTTTTTTTTTTTTTTTTTTTTTTTTTTTTTTTTTTTTTTTTTTTTTTTTTTTTTTTTTTTTTTTTTTTTTTTTTTTTTGGTCCCTTCCAACCCAAACCATTCTATGATTCTCTAAGATTCGTAAGCCTAGTTGTAGACAAAAAAAACTATATAGTACCTGTGACACTCTCAAACCCAGTATGTAATGATGCTGGTGGCTAGAATTAGATGCCATATGTAGATTCTTAAAAATCGCTATTTAGGATCTTGCATCAAATGCTAAAGCAACACAAGTCGTCTTTACTTTAAAAATCAACTCTAAATTCAAGTATAAATACCGCCTTTTTTAAATAAATGTAAGTAACGTGGGTTTAGAAACTTGAGTTTAAAGACACTTGCACCTCAAAACACTAACACTGATCTGTGTCTGTAAATTGTATCTATACTGTATTGCCAGTGTTGAACGGATAAGCTTTTTTCTGTGTTGTTCAATTTCTGACCACAAAAAAGCAGCGGTCTGAATAAGATACAAGAAAAGAAACCCCCCTATTTTAATGAGATGCAAATCAAACATTGCACTAAGACTCATTGCCAGGACAGCATTTACCATCTTTCCAATCTTGACTTAAGTAGCTTTTGTTCGTTAGTGTATTAAAGCCATGAAGTATTTTACCTCTTTAGCACCCTTCCGGCCTTTAACAGAACAGATAGAAAGGCAGAGCCGAGCAGCACGTGGAAGATCAGGAATGTACATGTCATACAATAGCCATTCATTCCATCTGTAAGATTTAAAAAGCAGAATAAAACTAGGTTAAAGGAGAGCATGGAGACAACTGCATTCAATCAACAGTTGTACTAAAAAGCATTTGTAATATTCCTACCTAAACTGTATATTTGCGTAAAGAGTACACTTTCTTACTGAAGAAAGGTCCTCCTACATGCATACAACCACATCTACTCCTTTTGGGAATGGAAACTTCCCCGATTAGCCTTCTAGCACCAACACTGTTTAAAAAGTCATGCTAGGTTCAATTCCTGCAAACTTAGTAATAGGTTCATTCACTTTTGCTCTTGCAAACCTACTGACTGCAACTGTCAGCGTAGTTATAACCTAAAGATAATGGATTTGTGTATGTGCTACACTAATGTAAGGTTTAGCTTGTGAAATATTTTTCACTTCAGGGAAAAAAAGCAAGTGGGAAAAATGCGGCATAACTTTCAGAACTCAATTAATTTGAACTGCTAGAAAATAAAAAGGTAACTGCAAGATGGGAATATAACACAGAAATGTAACACAGAAATCCAAAGCAATATTCCTAACTCAGATATTATTCTATTTACCATAGTAATAAGAGCACAGATTGGTTCTACAGGAATACACATTTTGTTTTCATGAACTTCTCTAAGTAGACTTTATCTCTCAGTTGGTAGAACTGTGCTTTTGAAGAGGAACTTCTGAATACAGTTTCTTTTCCTAAGCAGATTGCCATGCTGAATTTTCTCAGCTGGAAGAGGCAGCAGCTTCCAAGGACAGCATTAATTTTTCAATGTGTCTGTAGCTACTAAAAGCAGTTTTACAGAGAAATAACTGTCCAAGCCCTTCTGTAAGAATGAAGAAATTAGGAGATAAACTTTAATTCACTTTTCTTACATGTTCATTTCATGTAACACAGATCTGTGTGATTACATCCATGTTTTCAAGCCATACCCTTCACCACCTTTCCAAGAAGATTTTCTCTCTAAAACAGTTAAACTACCAGTTCAAGTATAGTTATGTTCAGGGCAACTCAGAGGGAGAGGCTATTTTTCAACAACTATGTATATTATTAGGCCCTCTAATTATAGAACCTTGTCATATTCATAGAAAACATACAGACAAAAAAGTTTCAAGATGTATTAATAAAGACTAAGTCAGACAGAAAATGCAAGTCAAGATTTACTTCTGAACACATACTTTGCATCTAATCCTAGCAGATGCTGAAATTTCATACCTCCTCATTAGTCAAAGTTATGGGAACCTCTTTTAGATACTTTTCTCAGTGTGTTTATATATGCTTATATAAAACTTATTTTTGCACTTTTAAGTTCATGTGATTTATTTTTCCAGATAATATAGGTCAAGTAGGTCAAGTCTCCTGAAAATAATCAGCCCAGATCTAGCAGTCACTTCCATATTAGCAAATGATACCCATCTCTCCACACAGTGGTTCTGCTTTAGAACACACTATGCAACCTTACTGAAACAAATTTACAGGTTACATTACATCACATTGCCTCATGCTGAAAGTGAAATCTGAACCTGCAACTGGAACACCTGCTATTCATCCACAGTCAAAAAACAAGAGCTCAGTCACCTAGAGCTATGCTGATTTCACAGTATTAATGAGTAATTATATTGGAGTTTCAGAGGCAACTGTAAATGCACATGTAAAACAGATCTGTTCAGTAAAAACACTATACTACTATATGCGAGACAATACTTGTGTTTGAATTAAATTAATTCTATTTATAAATATAGGGATATGTAAAAATATTTTTACAAAACTTAAGGCAAGGAATTCCCAGCAAGAAGCTCTACCTGAATAATGGCTAAATCAAGTCTTTACTCCTTCAGTGCTATCATTTATGATGCCCTGTAAGTCAGGTTCTCTATAGTCGTTCAATTATTCAGCTTACCTGGGATTAGAACAAGGTACCCTTTGAGTATTCACATTGTCACACAAAGGTTCCCCTCCATGGTAGATACCTGTTCTAACATAGATCTGAAAACAATGTTGATATTAGTACTGTCTTTGAAATGTTACTGTAAACAAATTTTTTCAGTGCTATCAACATATACTATGATTGCAACATATTACCCTTTCATTTTCATCAAGTAAAAAACTGAAAACCAAACAGCCCCACCACTCCCCAACCCAAATTCATTCATGCTTTGCAAGGTGTGAAGCACAGTACAAAGCATACCCTTCTAGAAAAAATGTTTTGGTCTTTTTCCTCATTAATTGCAAAACTAGTTCTTAAAAAAATACAATAATAAACTTGAAATGAACTCTAAAAAAACCCCTGGAATTTACTCTCAATTCTTCCTGTGCCAAGGTATAGTGAAAGAAAACACTGAACAAATTCCGAGAAAGTTAGAGCCAGGCTTGTAGTATGACTTCAATGGGACTGAACCCTACCTACCTCTTGTCCTTGATCTCCCCATACCTCCCTTTTCAAAAACAAAGATAGCACACTATCCAGCATCCCCTCATAAAAAGTACTGCCAATTACTGTAATACATTCTTAAACATAATAATTATTCAGAATATAGATAACAACATGGGTTTTGTTTTTCTATCCATTACATACTTGGCTGAAGTGAACTATGCAAACTGAGTCCTGCTCCTATCAGGCAGAATATTTAGCTAAATGCCACAACTCACGCTTTTTAAGGAGCATACAAGAGTTTTTAGATCTAAAACATGGCTATATTTTTTAGAATTGAGTACTTAAATTTAAATAACAGAGTGGTCTAATTTTCTAGCATGTTAAATAACATCTTTTCCAACGTAAGCACAGGACACAAAACTCAGGAGGAAAGCCATGAGTTGCTGAAAATCACATATGATGCCATACAGCATTTGCCTTACCTTGTCAATGTCTCTGATGTTCACATTTACATAGGTTGCACAGAGGATTTTTATTCTGAGAGCACTATTTATAGTCCAGAGTGATTTGGCTGTAGCTTCTCCATTCATGTAGGGTGTAGCTGTAGAGATACGCCTGGAATAAGATGGCATTGTAAAGGTGTCCAGTGGCAGCTGGGTATATAGGCTTTCCTTAGCCATCAACATCAGATTGGGCATGCGACCAAGCATTATACAGCTTCTTATATACTGCAAGAAAACAAAACCAAAAATCAGTATGTTTTTCTTGGTAATCTATACCTAGAAGTATTCAGGAAAAATATAAAAGTAAAAGCATCTTTAAAAGAGCTTATCACTGTCCTTATATGTACACCCTTTACAGTATTTATAGTTATAACATCCAACAGTCTAAATATGTTGTTGGGTAGGATTGCACAGTAGCGCTTCATACAGATTTTGAGATATGAACAACATCTACAACAGTGGAAGGTTGAACTAGACATAGAGAACAGAGCTGACAAAATTACAAGTCAGGTTTCTTGTAGTGCTCCTTAGCTCCAGCACAGTGCAGCACAAACAAAGCAGACTGCTTCCAGATTAGAGCTGTTCCTGGAAGCATTTGAACTGTTTTTGCACAGCATGCTGCTGTACTAGTCTGCTGTGCAGACCTAGCACAGGTGGCTGATACTCCTAGTCACAGGCAGAGAGCACAAGACAAATGGCAGACACACTCATTTTTGGTTCAGCTGTACTGATTACCTTACACTCGGCACTGATCCTGACAGACTCTAGCTGTAAGCCTGTATGGTGTCCATTCAGGACTGAGTGTCAAGAGCATTTAGTCCAGCAACAGTACCACAAAATACAATGCGTTAAGACAGGTCCAGCCCTGGAATGTAATTAGCAAGCTCTTTTGCAGCACAGTAAAGGCATACCAGATACTTCTGAAGAAGCCACGCTAGATCAAATAGGTCTACCGTTTGATCTCAAGGCAACTGCACAAAATTATTCATGTATGCCTGCACTTGTTCCCCAGCTCCCATAGAATAGAGCTGCTTTTCCCATTACTCAGGATCCCCCACCCCACTTCTCTCCCCCAGTGCTCTGGAGAGCAGATTCATCAACCATTTTAAATGAAGGAATGGAAGCTGTTTATTACAACAATACATTCCTCAAAGAGGAAGCAGCAGCAGTCTGTCAGGAAATCTACAGGGTAACATTGTTGTCTGCTCCGGAGAGGGCTGCTCAGATGCTCTTCTGTCAGCAGTTCTGTCTCACACTCACAGCACTAACAAAACCCAGGCAATGAAGGGCACCCAGCCACAAGAAAGATTTAACAATGATTTATGTAGTGCTGGAAGTTTATCACTCATTTAATAAGACAAAAAAATTTAAAGTAGTAAGTAACAGGAAAACAAATAATTCGTTTAGATTTTTTCCACCCCTAAAGGGGGAAGGGACAAGATTCATAGTAGCAATGGTTGCCTCATAATTTAACATCTGGTTGAGTTTTCTTTTGTATTACATCAACCCCATTCAAGCATAATTCATCTCTTGCCATCAGAAATCTAGGGTATTTCTGAAAGTACCTACTACTGATTTATCACTAATGTTAGAGGTAAGCTACTTCATTCAAAGAAGATAAATTACACCAATGATGTAAATCCTAGTTTAAATTACCTTTTCTTCCCCCTCCTCTTTTGAAGCACGTACAGCAACAAATATGCACAGTACACACATGCATTAGCCAATTAGTTTAAAGATGCATACACTTTTACTTCCTATGTTTTGGATTAATTTAATGAAAAAGCAAGCCAGTCAAAATTGATCACTTCTCTCCCTCACAAGTTTGAATTATTTTAGTGTACTTCAAAATAAATCCATTATGTTACTCACCTTATACTGGCTCAGTGGATATTTTTCTAACAAGTATTCATCACAGCCACACACTTTTAAAATATATTTGCCCTGATACTCCAAGACGCAAAGTTTCAGTTGTTCAGATGACAGCAACATACTTCGTGTTTTCTTCCTAATTGCTTCAGCAATAACTTGCTCAGGCACACAGTCATGATTGATTTTTAAGGTGTATTTTTGCTTATCATTGTTTGGTGAGACTATTACCCATATCACCACTATAATTTGCCCTAGAATAAATGTAAAATAATGTTAGGCCTATCATTTTCAATAAAGTTTCAAAACAAAAACCCAAACCCCCCCCCCCCCCCCCCCCCCCCGAGAGTTGCTTGCAGTACTGCTGAAAGCTGTAGACAAGATTCATAGCCCAAATTGACAGAGGGTTTATAACTTCAAGGAAGTATGTGCACTCAGTTTATTTTTGTCTCTAGTGTAATTTAAACTTCTACTCCTTGAGGTTAAGAATATTTTTATTAACCGAATACTACTGACTATTCAGCCTTCAAGAAAACAGCAGTAACTGTTTCATATTTGAGGACTGCAAGATGACTCACTGATTCAGCATCATTTAATTCCAGATTTCTGAATGTTAAAGAAAAATGCAAAGCCAACAAGCTGTTTCTGCCCACTAAAAAAAAAAAATCACCTCTACCAAGTTATAGTTCAAGATTTAGTTATTAGAATAGCAAAAAATATAATTTTAAATGTTGTCTTCCTTTTGAATCTACACTCTATCAAGAAAGTTATTCCGCATAACTTAAGGTGTAAGATATTGCTAGAGTGTACTAAATACAGTACATAAAACAATGATTTACCTAAGTCACCAGCTGTACTCCTTGATTTCAATCACGGAAAACATTATGTTTCTGCTGTAAATATTTATCTTACCTTTATCTAGTTTATTGTATATGTGTTTGGGTAGTTCAGGCGAAGACTCTACATTTGGAGGACAGACATATAATGCTCTACTGTGCGGTGCATTGGCATCTCGAAGATCCACTGCTTCTTTACAAACATTAAGAATATTTCTTCTGAAGTCTTGTACTTCTGGATCCTTAACCATGTCAAATTCACAGACAGGCATGCCAGTAGCAAAACCTACAGCATTAAAGAAACATGAGGAAACAACTGTAACTGATAATTAAAGCTAAAGATTCCTTCTATCAGTAACAGAAAGAGCATGTTTGAAGCAAAACACAACCTAAAATATTTGTGTTAACCACTGGCTTCTACTTGTATACATAATTGTTTCATTTCATTCAGGAACAATGCAGTTCTAAAGTTAAGTGCACTCAGCAGTCACAAAAAAGGTTAGAAAACAGGTGCACATTCACTGAAGATCCTGGAAGCCTTAAATCACCACTCTCACGGCTAACACTCCTGCTGGAGGAAAACAACCAGAAATAAACTTCCTTTGAAGTCAGCACTAAGTTTCCTAAGTGGACCAGAGGAGCTGTGATGTCCAATTTTTTTCTAAAACCCTGGCAGGATTATTGGTAGCTATTAGGACCATAATCAACTTTGCTTACAACTGAATGACAGCTATTCAATTTTTTTAATGAACTACACTGAAAATGTGACAAGCACTCAGAGATACTGAGCTTAGCTCTTTGGCACAGATTCATGTAATAAGAGTCTATTTCTCTCAGGTCCTCTGTCTCAGATGTAATTCCATTTACTTTAATGAGATTACTTGCATAAATAATTATTTATGCATGAATGTTCAAATGGAAACTTTCGATTGTCCTGTTGCATGGTTAGCTAACCACTGTTCTCCCTAAGTCCTGAGCAGGTTAAGCTTTACAAAACAGAAGTAGTTTACTTATGATGCATTCATAACAATTAAATAATTTAACAATTAGGAGCACCCCAGGAACAAGTATTTCCAGTTGAGAAGTCTCTACCACAGCAATGTACATCTGTTAGCAACTAAATGGAAGTAGGTATGTTTGTAGTGCCTGAATTTAGATACTAACCTAGATGCTGAAACATATGCTAGTCTCCCTGTGCTTTCTCAATGGATAATGGAAAATAAGCTACTCCAGAGATGATGCAAAACATCACAATATGTCTCCCCTCTGCCCCTCCAACCTCAGATGTTTTTGTTTCCCTCCCCTCCCCATGCTCTTTTTGTTGGAAGGAGGGGGGAAAAACCACCTCATTTCTGAAAGTTTACTTTCTAAGCAAGATAGAGCAGTATTAAAACATGTGCTATCACAAATGTAGTTTAAGATTTGTAGTTAAATCCAGAATTTACAATTCTGTAAGCTTCAAAACAAATTACGATTGACTTCCCAAACAATAGAACAGACTTCGCACTGTAATAATATGAAACCCTGCTAATAAGAGACAAGCAAAAAATATCCTCTAACCCACATACAACTACAAATATGTACAAAGCAAAGACTTTACATGTGAGTGAAACAGAACAGCAAAAAAGTTAATTCACAGTTTATGAATGTCAGCTTTACTATGATCAGCATCTTTGGACATTTGATGCAACAACTGACAGTTATGAAATGCAAACTTTGACAGATACAGGTGACAAACAACCCATTTCAATTCTTTGTTTTGTATTTTGAAGAGGAGAAGCCAGTTAACAGATTAGCTGTATTTAAATAGAGATAATCTCACCTATTTCTCTATTAAGAATCTTTTCTTCTCTGTTACCTACTGGTTCAATGACTTTTAGAAAAGGCTGAAATAGTCGCAGGTCACAAAGTCTCCGTGTTTCATCAAAAAATTCTTCTCTTTCTGCTTCTTGTGTAACACTTACAAAAATATAAGAAGATTCATCTTGAAGGAGCTGATAGAGAGGGTATTTTCTTGCTTCTTTAAAGAGTTCATGTTTAATAGTTAGTAAGGTGGCCTCACGGAGGCATTCTAGAGTCACTATCATTCCATTTGGGAGAAGACACTCCACAAGGATCCTCGGTGGCATCAAGTGGATGCCCCATAGTTCGCCAGATGATGGTCGTGGAGGCATTTTTAAGTCTTTAGATAACTTTGTACTGGAAGTTTTTCAAGCAGTGATTCATACAAGTAAACCTAAGTAAAAATCAGAAATTTAAATATTAAAATTTCAGATAGAAACATCACAAGGAATTTCAGATAAAATTGTTCAAACACTGCTTATAATTGTGTATGAATATTCATGGCTACACTTCACATTCATGAAAAAGACTTCATAAAACTGATGTCTAAGGAACTTGTATTTGATGTAAATATCTACTCAAATAAAACAGTTAATAGCAGAATCACATTAGTTTGGGAAAAATGCCAATACACATATGGTCTTAAAAAAATAGAGGATTAATTTTTTTACCTGAAGTTTATAATTTATTATTGGAACACTTAAATAGCATGTGGGATGAAAATATCTAATATTCAAATTATTATTACAGCAATTTTTAAGCAAATATCAAACCCAGTTCTTCAAATTTTTAACTTGGAAAGAGAAACATTTATTATCATTTGGATGAGACACAAACCATCAACTCTGCTCAGTTTAGCCAAACCAGTGCTTCAATATTTGTTTGTTTTTTTTTTAAATTTTCTCTCATCCCAAACCTCTTAAGTATTCAAACATCACTAACATAATAGTTATAAGTATTTACTAAACCCCCTAAACTTGATTTTAAGAATCCATGTACACAGAAAACTTGTCCTTAGCTTTTTTAGATCAATATAAGCTACTTACAGCAGCAACAAACCCTTTTTTCCATGAATGAGACAGAAGAACTGAGCTCCATTAACACTTTTTGGTTGGGCTTGTTTTATTTAGGATCAATTCCCTGTTCTAGTTCCCTTTGGCAGCTGCACAAATGTCTTTGCCAAGCCAAAGGAAAGGAGGGGAACATGTGTCTGACCTTCTATCAGCACTGCCTTATGCCAGCTTAGACCAGGTACAAGAAAAATTGTATCTCGACAGAGCAGAGATGTCTTATAGCCCAGTGGCCAAGAACAGATGCCAAACAAATAACAGAAAAACTAGGCAGGCACGCAGTGCTACTTCATCAATAAACTCTCCTAATCACTATCTATTTTTAATTTCCTTAACCAGAGGCAATATTAATGTATTTGTGAAAGAAATCCATCATGAACTATTGAGTTTGTCCAGGAAGTTTTCACACACAAGCTGTTCGCATCCTGTGACAAGAGTGAAGAACATTCCATGTTACAAAATATTCGCTTTTCTTTATTCTGAAGCCTGCTACTTTTACCTGATATCCTCTTGTAATGAAACAGAGTTCCTTATCTTTGCATTCATTGCTCTTAACTTTACAGAGATCCATCAAGTTCTCCCCACTACTTCTTTTCCATAATAGTCCCAGATTTAGTCCTTCTCTGCCCAAAAGTCATTCTATATTTTTGTTAATCCTTGTCATCTTCTCTGTATCTCTTCCACCTTTACCATACCCTTTTTGCAAGGTAGAGGGGGAACAATCATATCTGCACACCACATTCAAGGTCCAAACTGAGCACGCGTTTACATAGTCACTGAGCAGCAAGACATTTTCACTGAACTACATACCATAAACTTAAGCTCTCATTGCAGAATAGTAAGTTATCACAGAGGCCATCACGTTATGCAAATCTCAAATAGTGCATTACTTACACTTAGCCCGTAATTTCATTAGCTTCAGCATGTACCTTATGAGAGAGGGTAATAGCAACAGACATCTAAAGAGCAGTCCATCGTCCATCATGCCTCCTCCATCAACCAAGTGTCCTGAAAGCACAGGGCTAGGATAACTACCAGGCTACAATTCTAAAACCGTTCTTAGTCATCTTTTAAGGTGAGAACCCTCTTAGGACGCCCCCTCAAACTTAGTTTCTTTTCTTAACAGAAAAGATGGAAAAACCCAAACCAACAGCTTCACACCTCTTCTGTTTTATCAGCTTTCTGAAAGCTCCAACTGTGGAAAAGCAATGAATGCTATGCTTGCCCTTTGCTCAGCATTTTTTAATATATCTTTTTATATAGATATAGATAAATTTTACGTATATATAAAATTATAAATCTAAATATATAAAATTTTATGTATGTAAAAATAATGCCTCATTTCTTTTCTTCCAAGTACATCTAGTACCTGCTTTTGCCACGCTTCAGTTCTTGTTCTTAAAAAGAAGCATTAGAATGAAAATGATGTTTTCCCAAATCCACTGCTTCCTAAGCAACTCTGAGTAGCAATAGGGTTGTCTTTTTTTTTTATCCCTCCTTTGTAGTTGTAGTTTAGGCTTTTAAAAATATCACCAAAAGTACTAAAGTACTTTTCCACTAACACCTCATGCGTATTTAGAAGGGCTTTGCAACTGACTTTTTTTTTTTTTAAAACAGAGCTTAAATAAGCCATTTTATTTTCCTCATCATTGTAACAGTCTCAGTGAGCAGATGCTGAAATGGAAAGTTCTAAGCACACTCAAAGTGTATTTAAAAAGCCAAACTTGAAAAGCTTACCAATTACAAAACATTACAAATGAACCCAAATAACACCATTTAGAGTAACTTGGAGAATTCTGAATTACTGATAACTATCCTCAGTTTACAGATAAAAAAATACACAGAAGGTTAAATAGCATCTTTATGATCAGGCAAAGCATGAACAAGGCTCCCTCTCCATACTGGTGAATCACATGCTTATTTACATTTCTTATTTACAAGCATAGGCAGAAAGACATTACTGTTGAGGCATATACCAGCATGAAAAAAACAAAACAAGAACATGCAGTCATAAGAACTTTTCTGTCCACACATACAATGATAATATAGATGGACCACTATCAAATTAAATATTCACAACACAGACTGAGTTTATACCAGCAGTCTTTTAAGTTCAGTTCCACAATCCTGTTGAGGCTCCTCTGAAGTGACAGTTGTAAGAGCCCGTCTTCTCCCTGCCCAAGGCGTGTGTTCTCATTCTTCATCACACTGGCACCGGTGCTCCCTGAGCCAGCTCATTACAGGGTCAGACGGATTAAAGTGGCAGAGAACTACTCACTCTTCCTTTCTTGGGTTAGCTTCTGCTATTTTAGCTGCCTTATTGAGATCACCAAGGAGTCAGATGAACACTAGGGTCTATGCTGGAGAGCGAGCACAACTGCAGCAGTGCTGAGCTAGTTCAGCTTCAGAAACTGTGGTTCCACTGCAAATTTTTCCTCCCTCCCCACCAATAATTGCTAACAAGGAAACAGAGGCAGGGCTGGGACACACACACACGCACACACACACATTAAATCCTTCAACAGAGGCAGGGCTGGGACACACACACACACATATTAAATCCTTTTAGACAAGTATCTTTTCAAAATAAATGTCAACCTTGGCTTTTTAAAAATGTCAAAAGTTAAACGCCAACTCAATACCATTTCTTTAAAGAATTGCAAACGGTCCGAAAGGGACACCCCAAAATCTACACTCTTTTTAGAGCAACTGCACCGAAACAGTAACTTTTGTTTTAAATTAGGATACAGACATTTGCTGGAATGGTGCATATAGTCATTCTGTGTGCGCATTCATTTTACTTGCACATGTAAGCACGCCTCCAGGGTTTGGATTTGGAAAGCAAAAATGTAAACAGAAACAGTCTTGAAGTATAGTTGGCAGCTTGTGTTTCTGTGTACACTTTCAAATCTGGAAGGCTGCCTGGAATAAATAGAATCAATTATGTTCTTCGACAGTAAAAGGACTATAATTTTAAGAGAATTCTAGAGAGATGTTATTTAAATCCAACTGAGGGTACACGCAAACACTTCAAATGAACACTACATCACACCTGCAAGCCCTGACAAAAACACCTTCAACTTTTTTCCCCTACCAAAAGCTTTGGGATACCACAGATAGTCAGAAAGGCCAAACTCAGACACTCACTGATCAAATCGCATTCTTTTCAACTCATTACAGCCTTCCTGATCCATTCAGCACGTTCTCCATCACTAACCTTGCTGAGCACCCAACCTAGCAGTGATCAAACTTTGAAATGCCATTCAAAAAGAATAGGCATACATGGAGGAAAAATGAGGGAAGTTAAACAACATGCATCCCAAAATACCGATTCCTACTTGCTTCCAGATACACTTTCCATGTTAATGTGAATTTATATAATCTATTTTCTTACAGGATAGAAATCCCTACAGTCAAACAACTACACCATCTAGAATAAGGGATTCCAAGTTTAGAAAATTGGTTTTTGGTAAACAATGGCAGTTTTATCACCTCACAGCACTGAACTGTGCAGAACTACAGCGGCATGGTTAACTCAATTTCATTCTACTGAATATTATATTACAAGTTACAGCCTACAATTATTTTTCTAATGCCTTCTTGATGACATACAAATATGTTAACTTTATGATGGTCTCATGTAAACCTTTTCAAAGTTTGCTGCTACTTCTTCTGAAAAGAATTTCTTGCCCTTGAGGAATGGAGCTCAGTGAGGGAGAAATTCAGTAAGAATTGTACTGCAGGAGAGTTAATATTGGTTCCTAACATTAGTACTCAAAGAAGTACTTTCTATCTTCATAATTTAAGCAAACTAAGCTTGGGACAAATTAACTTGAGTAAAAACCCCACATATATTTTCCCCTAGAGACATCTGAGGCTACTGCAGCTGTTTTCACCACACTTTTACACATAAAAGCCCCATGCATCTACAGCTCAGCAGGGCACCCTGGCAGTAGTTTTTCTACTCTAAGTGTTTTTTGTACATTAACATTTTGCAAGAAGAATTGCAAACAGGAGTGTCACTGATCTAAGTTTTATGTGTCTTGCTAAAAAGGAGGCCTGTTACTCTTCAGTACAGGTGGAATCTACATTAAAAAAAAACAAGCGAGAAATGACTTTCATAAGCTCTTCTGTCAGAAAGTGTGGAGAACCCTTCCTTGCTAAGAGAACACGCATCTTCACAGATTATTTGTTTACAGATTAGATGAAGGTAATTGATTTTCACAGTCTAGAGATCACTCGCAAACATTCTACCAACTCCACACAGATATCAATATTTGGCAATTTTTGGCACGGTTAACTGATAAGGCTTTTTTCCCTGTTTTGTAAATTATCTGTGGGCATATTCTCCAAAGAGAGGAACTCCATCTAACATTAACGCGTGTCTTATAAAGCAGGTGAAGACCCACTGTGCAAGTCTGTGGGCCAGTCTAGGGAAAAAAATTGTTCACTTTAGGAGACTTATTGTTAAAGTTGTCTGTCATCAGCACAAGCTCCTACAGTTACTCTTCAGGCTCTGCAAGAGGAGATTCTTCCATCTATGTTGTACCAACTAGCAAGAAATCTAGCAAGTGCAGAAGGAAGCAAGAAGCAGAAGTGTACTGTAATACTGTATTAAATGTATAAAGTTGAGATTATTATGCAAAGAGGCACACACTCCAGTGACTGAGAACCGAATAATTTCGCATTGTTATCAGCTAGTGTTTCAAAATCAATTCAAAAGGCCAGACTAAACACTCAATACAATTTCATCGGTCCATACTTAAAACTGAATTAGGCATTCAGTAAACTACTACACTTTAATTGAAGTCCATTAGTTTTTCCAGTCACAAGAAAAATCCCATTACGTTGCTTTCATAGACAGGACATAGCCATGTTTTATAACAATTTGCAGTATCTTTGGTATCAAAGAGCTGCTCATTAGGATTTGTGTCTAGATTTGATTTCTTTTCCAGGTAGAAGTTTCCTCTAGACTCTTAGCATTGCCTTAAGAAAAGTCTTCTACTCATTAAACAATCCAACTATGTTTATAGATTCCAGTTTACTGCACACTCATGCATCGGTTATATGATTTTTCTTGATTCTCTGGCAAACTGACATAAGTATCAACTACAGGTATGTCCCCAAATAAGCTTTTTTTAACTTCTGTGGAATCCCTGAGACAAAAGTTGGGAGGGGGGGGAATATTCCTGGGACAAGAGTAACAATATTTCGGAATATTCCACTTTGTCCCAGACATCTCAAACTTTCTAAAGACCAAAATGTTTTATTCTCATCTTCAGACACATCAGGCACTCCAAAACTCACCATGAAGAAAACTGGGCAGAGTTGCCTGTCTAATTTTGCTGCTGTCCAAACCTGCTGTGTGGTGACAGTAAGACTGCCCCAGACTAGATATTTTCAGTACTGTCCTTTTGTTCTTCCTGCTTCCCAAGCTGGCATTTTTCCAAAATCCAGGAAGACTAGTACAAAGATCTCTGAAATTGCCCTCTATGAAAACATTATTACACAAAAATTTAAACAGTAGCAACATTGCTTTGTTTAGAATAGAAAGCAGGAGACTGTTGTATTGCAGTTGTGTCTTCATATTTCTTATGTACTACTTTCATCCTTATTATTTCACAGAAAAGGCACAGATACACAGAGTTGCTTATCTGATCACAAACAGCAGCTCGAGGAAAACAAAACTGTCGTCTTAGCATTTCATTTCCTTCTGAAAGAGGCAAGTATTTCCAAACATTACCAATTTTATTTGTAGTTACCTACTTCTTCCCCCCTGCAAAAAACAGTGCTAGGTACCTTTGCCTTGTTCTAGACAGAGCTAAAAAATCTAACATTACTGATAGCATCTGTAGAATTATAGTACAGCAGAAATACAAGATCATTCTTCCCTGTGAATGTAAAAATCTCACTGGAAATTAGAAAAAGTTGTTTCAGTTTAGTTAGGTATGAGAACTTGGGTTGACTATGTTTCAAAGCTGTTTTCTTTAAAGTTATCTTACATGCAGATTTTTTTTGTTTCAGAATATTATATTCTTGGATTCTGGTTGTAGTGACTTTCAGATACCATGAATAAAATTAATGGTGAGGTCATCTGGAAAAAAAAAAGAACTTGCTATAAAATATTGTCCAAGAAGTAACATATATGTTACCTGTTACTGAAAAAATATAGGATCAAACAGCTGAAACGAGAATAAGAGAAACAATTTAAAAAGATTTACAATTGCTGGAGTCTTTTTTTTTTTTCCTTTTTTTCATCCAAGAAAACCAAAAGACCTTTAAATTCTCATTTTATTGCCCACCCTCCCCCATCTATACAGGCATATTGTTTATAGCTTCACTCACTATCTGGGAGCCATGAAAACAGGATCACGAGAAAGAAACATTTGCAAGTTGCTGGTGACCTCCACAACTCCCACTGCGATTGTGCTTTTTCCCTAGGGATCCCATGACATACCAAGAGCAGAATGTCTGTCCTAGAACATTTTCTTCCAGTTAAAGGCAGATTTTTTTTCCCTCTTTGTTAAACAAAGGAAAGCCTGGAACTAAATCTTCCATTTTAGTCCGAAATCATTCAGTAATTCCATGTCTAGCTTCACCTCAAAGGAAAGGATTTTGTTATTTACAGAAGACTAGTAGTCAAAGCACAACAAAGCATTAGAAAAGCAATGCATCTTTTCTTTACACTTCACATATCAGCTTACTCATTATTTCAACAATTAGCTTGGCTTGCTATGTAGCAGGATGAGAATTACTCTCCCACCTGGCTGTGTTCTGGTTGGTGCTGTTCCTCCACAGCTAGGTGTGCACTCTGAAGCTCAATGAGCAGCACTCGATCTTTCAAGCTCTTTAAATCAAAAGCCTTAAAGTTCGGCAACAAAATCAGAGAAGAATGCCATTTTGTACCAATAGAAATAAGGTTTTCCTCTGATTATGTATTTTTCTTTAATATTCTATTTTATATGGGTGACAAACATTTTTTTATGTTGACAGTAGAAAGAACATGAAGTAAAAGCGCACCACAAACCATATTCTGCTCCCTGCTACAAACACTAAGGGCTTCAATGTCAAGTTTCGCATGCAGAAATGTTCTGCTTTTGGAAATCAGTGCAAGACAATGTAAACTAAAGATTACTCTAGAATGTCTTTCATGAAACTAGATTAGATAGGTAAAAAATGCTGAATATCTCTCAATATAAAACTCCACCTTAAATAATGTTGTTTACTTCTCTTTCCATGTTTCTTCCCATCCTCCCACCTTCCTGGGATATTTGGAACCCAGACAGTAAACAGGATCTTTAAAAAACAGGAAGCACTGGCACACAGACAAGGAGCCACAGCAGAGTGAATCCAGGTGTTCTGCACTCTGGTCTAGTCTGAATCTTCACCTAACATGAGCAGCTGTGTAACAGAGCTGTAACTCAGATACTGGGCCTTTCCTGGTGCTGACCCCCCCAGGCATGTCACCTTGGCTTTTAGAAGTAACTCTCTGCTGCAGCAAGATGAACCTCCAGTTGTACTGAAAGAGGAAAGATTTCCCCTCCCACTGTGCACACCTAGAAGGGCAGGGAAAGAACTGCAATAAAACACTGGAGGTACTGCAGTCCTCACACTGCTATGCTTGCCTCCCTGCCACAAGCAACAGTATCAAGAGGGTTCAGTCTACAACATTCACCTGACCAGCTCCTCTGGATGGAAGGCACAGAGAGAAATGTGTGTTCAGAAGAAAATTTGACTGAGATTAGGCTCACTTCTGTTTATTAATTTACATCCATCTTTACTCAAAACATCCACCCTGTGAGCCCTTCCTTTACTAAGAAGCAGCTGAAAAAGACATCAAACTCAGACTGACTTACAGCATATTGTGTACTTCCCACATAACATTTCTTAGGAAGGAGTCCGACAGCAACTTTAAATTGAGATAAAGTGTTTTTTCCGTACTAAATTACTCCAGACCCTGAAAACAACTAATGTGTATAAGAAAAAGTTTTGGAGTGGCAGTGGATAGCAGTATTTTTGCAACTTTGCAGATTTTTAGTATTAAGCATAGAACAGTGAACTGGAAGACAGAAGTTTCTGTTTCATAATCCAAATATAAATTAGCTTTCCATTTATTCTATCTTAACTGACTCGTGTAGCCAAACAGCATTTATAAAAGTATGGGTTTAGTCTGCATGGACTTACTGAATTCCGTTAGCAAAAATCTTTATCTTTTATTTACTGGCAAACAGAGGATGGGATGCAACTTCACTTCTGATAGAGCATTTGTAAGGAACCACATGCCTCAGCAACAGCCATGGAAGTAGGTTTTTTTTCTTTAAGCTCCTAAACTGAAAAAACAAAACAATATATTATCCATTGAGGTATTTCTTAACTCCCTTTTTAAAACCATTTGTTGAGAGAAGGAAGCTTCTAGCAGAGTTAACACAAAGGCAGAGACACCTTAATGAAAAATTAAAATTCTGCAGCTAAATATTCTTGCCCTATAAACAGCTGAAATTAATACAGTTCTTAGCAAATCGTCCTATACAAAGACACATGGAACAAAATAGCAGGGAAACAAATCCAGTTCTTTGCAAAGCCTGCCCTGTAGAAGTAGTTGCCTACTTCTACACGAGCTATAATCATAACCGAAAGATACTACAGCTTTTCAAGCGTCAGTTAGAAATAATTACTACTCCCTAGTAGACTTGTTTGTGATACAGAGTCAATGGTGATTAACTAAATATTTATTTAGCAGTAGATGATAACCCTGCTGAAAGATAAGCACCAACAGTTTTCCATGAAAGATTATCAACAGACCCTTATTTACTACAGCAGCAGACTGAGGCTGTCCTGCTTACCCCACACACAAAGCATGTGAGTGTCACAGTAGGATGCTATTCAGCTGCAAAGCATTTAGCACCACTGTATGCTCCCATCAGGCTTCATCTCCCTGAAGGTCACAGATCCCTTAGGTGTATTACACCTAAGCGCCTCAGAAAACTGGGCCTTCTATGTGAAACAATACTGTTGACTGAATTACTGATTTTGTAAGCATATTTAACTGCTTTATGTAAGTTACAAAGAAACCAAAGTTTCTCTGAAACCTTAAGGAGCATAGGTTTATTCTTGTTCTAGCTGTTGACTCTGATTGAACAGGACTCCTCTCTGCATTTACAGGTTGAATGCCACAGCAACAATCATGACTCTTGAGACACTAATATATCTGCATTTGTGTTCTTGAAGTGCAAACAAACATGATTCATTTTGACTATGTATGTCATTAGGTCCTGCATGCTTCAGCCTGAAGTATAAACACAGCTATGGTAAACTGACAAACGGTTCTTCAGCATGTTTAACCAAATGTTTATCATTTCTGTACATATCTGTTAGAAGCATCTGCTTTGCAAACCCTATGTTGTGCAAACACGAAAGCATGATTTCAAGTGTGGGGCTACTGAGACATTAAGCTTGTTGTTAGTGCATCTCTTTCCTATACTTCAAGCTGTTACCCAAGTTGTTTCTCTAATGAGGTCAGGGTACCAGCAATTTGTGTTTACTACATCTGAAAGAAATGGCTAATATTTGCCTAAATAGATGTTTGCAATTAACATGAACTTTCCAAAGAAGAAAGTGACATAAGTTCATAGGTATTTAAACAGTGAATACCAGCAACATCTCCACAATAGTTTAAAGATTTCTCTACTTCCCAGCTTGGAAAGTCACTTTCACATCCAGATTAAATGCTTTGAGACTAAGGCACATGCTGCCTACTACTACAACCAGAGCTCTGTAAAAGAGATACATTAAAAAGAAAGACTTGTATTTTCAAAAAGCCAAAGAGGTACTGGCAGCAGTCAGTCACTGCTATTAAGAGAACTTTATACATCTGCACAAACAAGGAAGTATTTTTAATACATGGTTCTTTGGAAACATTTCGCTAATGTTTTTGTAGGTGTGTATATTCAAAAAGACTGGAAGCAGTTTTCAGCCTGGTGAAGTTTAACCCTGGGATAGAACAGGAGACCACAAAAGCTTAAGTGCTTTGGATTTAATTTCAACCCATAAACCCCACCAATTAGGGAAGGGTGACTACATTGCAAATCATCTTTTTTGTTCTTTAAATAACCTGCTCACACACCAGGACAGCAAGAAATTAGAAGCTATAGTAATGGTTACACTTCTCCTATCACCTTGCAGTTGCTTGTGATATCTGCTATCCTATCTGCTGATGTACAATGAAAGGCTTGGAAAAAAGGTGATGAAAGAAGAGTGGAAGAGCTGGATTGCAAAGTAATTTGACAACACATTTAAGAAGAGTTTCCACAGTCAGTAATAGGTTTTGCTATCCTTTTCTTCAGGTATCAACTCTGCCATTTCATTGCTCATTGGCTTCCATTTTCATCCTTTATCTCTTGATGGTAGTTATGCCATCTTCCCCTACATGTCAAAACATTCCAAGCTGGAGGTATCTAAGATCAAGGGAGTGCTGCTGAGCAGTGATAACAACATCAGTGCTTTATTCTCCATTTCAGAGCAAGTTGAAGAGGAAGACAAGTTATTAGAATTTTACTAACCACAACCTTGGTAAGCAGTTAAACATCAGAAAAACAGTTAAACTTTACCTTTTCAATTAGAATGTTAAAATCAACTTTAAGTGCTTTCTTTTAGCTAGCGACTACTTCTCAAAAATTCATATAACTGGTCATCATCTACAATGACAGCATTTCAATTTCACATATTACTATTTTACACTAAAACACAACATAATTTATTATAAATCAATCTTTGTAACAAACTTCTTTGTAACAAACTTGCTAGACTAAAAGTGGCACTCACAGGCACCCTATTTGTACACATCCTCAATTATACACCACAATCAAGACTATTCAAGTTGTCTGGATGTTGTTTAAAAATCATCTCTTCCACTTAGACGCTAGAGATTTTCTTGGGACAAGTGCTCTTCTACAGGACTTAACATCAAAATTGAAGGAGATTTCAGAGGTGATAGCATGAAATTGCAAGAAGATAAAATACAATATATTAATCACATTCCTCCCACCAGTGGAGACTGCCTTGATAAACTGGTAAGTGAAACTGGTTGTTCAACATCCACATAAACTTTTTGGAAGGCAGAAGAGCAATTTTCAGTTTTATTAGTAGCACTTCCACTTTTATAATCCAGCCATAACATTTGCTGATTATTCTGTTAAGAGTTGGGAACATAAATACAAAAATGAAGAATAAGTGGTATGTTTTATAATCTAAGCAGTTTGATGACCACAAGCAGCATATTTTAGAGTACAATTTGGAATGGAAGTTTTAACTTCCCTTTTCCCAAAGAAAGCTAGCTCTATCTAGAAACTTCTCCTTATGTTAGCACTATTAACTTTAATCTTTTCAACTATGCCTGTAGTCAAGAGTCAAGCTAGTGTTTTCTAGACTTAATGAAAAGTAACTTAATGGCACAAGCACTGAAGTTGGATAATAACATACCTCATCACACAAAGCATATTTGTTGAGTTCGAGAAAGAAACAATTCATCTCCGCGCTGCTTGCTTGGCAAACGAGTCTTTACTCTCTGCTCATTCTTACTTTTTTTGTGCTTGTATTTTCAAGTGTTCAGTGTTTAGTTTGCCTACATCTTTGCAGAGATTGGTCTCATCACTCTTCTAGTAAGTCAGATGCCAAAGTCAGAAAAATTTTGTTTATTTAGATTCAGATCACAGAACAGGCAGGTATTTCTGCTTATAGTTGATTAGTCTCAGATGAAATGCTGAATCTTGAGTATTTTCTTTTCAGTAACATTCAAGGTTTCTTGCATTTTGAGGATGTTCAAGAACTTGTTTCTTTGTTGACTGCTAATAGCTAAAAGAAGGAATAAGGTTGCAACAAGCAGTCATTTTTTGCTTGCAGATTTAGTGTCCTCTGCAAGGATCAACAGCTAAACAGCTGATAGTTTAAGACACTTTTCCAAGACAACAAATGCAATCTCAGCAGAAAATCCATGCGTCTGAAAGGACCATGACCCAAGTTATCAGCAAGAGTTAAAAATCAGGAGCAGTCTTGGAACACATTGGGCATGAGCCATTCATCACCATGAACTGCCACATTAAGTATTGGCAAAAGACTAACTAATTAGTATGGAAATAACAAAAACAGTTAAGTCTCAATGACAGATAAGTTTTTTGACATGTTGTACAATCTAGGAGGCAACCTTCCAGTTTTCTTTCTTTTCTGTTTGGACTTTGAGAGAAAACACCCAAGGGATGTTTCTCTACATTTCTTTGCCATAGAAGAGGGTCATAATGTACAGCCAATAAAGTGACTCAGCTGTCTCAAAATTTCAGGGAACTTTACAGTAAGTCTTAGTCAATTCAATAAGTCTCCTGTATTCGACAAATGTGCTTTGTGGTTCACGATCCTCAAAAGCAACATTTGCAAGCATTTCTTTAATCGGAAGCTGTACGCAAAACTGCCAAGGTTTTCCTACATAAAAATCCATGAAGATAAATTAATTTAAGGAAATTTGTTAATGGGTAGAGAAAAAAAAAATCTGAGGTATATCTAACCTTCTACTGGTAAAAAGCAATGGGGCATGAAACAAGAGATCGCTGAACCTTAAGTTCTATGTTTGACCCAACTGTTCTTAAACTAGACTGAAGTAGTCTTTTACTTCTATTGCTGCAAGTTTGCAACAACGTGCCAGAGAGGTGAAAGCTTCACAGTACTCCATCATTCTTCTCCCCTTCAATTTCACAAAGGTAAGCTGGTTTCTTTGAATTTTGTTTTTACACTTCTAGAGTTCAAGTATTTGAGCACAGTTTTTAAAAAACAGACTATAAACATTCCCAGCAAGTGTACTTGGTCAATTATGCCTGCTAAGTGCTTTTATTCCCTGCTCTACTGGCTTTAAGAAAAGAACGCTCTTAATAGAGAACAAGTTATGATGTCCACTGTCCCTCACACTTCTTGTTTGAAATACACAGGCTTCTTAGACTGCCTTTCACAAAAATCTGCATCCAGAATTAACTAGAAAAATACTTTTCTAGAATTGAAGTGTAAATGCATGCTATATAAAACAAAACAACATACTGGCCACAAAACCATTAAGTACTGCTCAGACTGAGAAGACAGATCCAGAATTACATACACTGTATTCAGTCTGCTGCATTTCCATTTGACCACAAGTTAACCTACAGGATTAAAGAAAAACCAGGGGGGGGAGTGGGGGGGGTTGGGGCAGCGGCATTTTTATAACAATTTAATTCCCTCCACCCCCAAGTTGGGCTTGGTTTTGTGTTGGGGTTTTTTGGTGGTGGGTTTTTTTTGTTTTGTTTTTTTAAAAGTTAATACTATAGCAGTTCTGCAGGGAAAAAAAACAGTTAATACTTCAGAGTATTATTTCTGGTTCATTTAAAACTCCATTAACCATTCAGAAATAGATTTACAGAATAAGTTCAGTTGGACCAACCCTGTACTCAAAACAATTCACATATGTTTGGTGTCCAAATAAATATAAAGAGAAACAAATCTATTTTCTCTCTCTACTGCTCACATTTGGATTAGGATACTACAAAGAGAAACTTGTAACAATTCTTTGCCATGACACATTCAACTTAAAGTGCAAAAGAAAATTCCCATCCAGTTTTAGCGTAAATATTTTTGTGGCCTCTTCTAGCCATAGCTACAATTTCAGACAGGCATCATCACTTGGAGCAGCTGGATGTCTGGCTTTAAAAGGATGAGACAAAACTCCCACAAGCATGGAATGCAATGCATAAAAAGCTGCAAAAAACCCAACAAACCCTACCTTAGCTTACACTACAAGCCACAAGTCTGTTTCTTCAGTTTAGCTAAAGTACAAACCATTATTCTTTCCCTAATGTTCCCCCTCCAACTCAATCACGCACACAAAAAGGGCACATATGGCACATTTTTCCTCAACTGGGAGATTTACTAGATTTCACACATTTTTCAGTAATTGCAAAACGATAAGTAGTATGATAAGACTTAAATTTTATAATGGTATTTTAAGACTAAACTGGAAAGACTAATTTTGCAGTATTATTCCCGTTCCAGTTATAAATCATAAAAATCAGTTTCTTCATCTGTCTCAAAGTTTAAAAAAATCTTAGCCGCCCCTCACCCAAATACAACATTTTTCAAGTGTCCTATTAACTACCACCTTTGTTAACCTTGATTAATATACTCAACTAAGCAAAGCAAACCTATATATGATACCATCTACGAGATGCTAGTATTTCTTGCATGATTTGGAATTAATGTATCATCCCAATTTCCTTTCTTCCAAAACAGGCAAGAAAAGCAATAGCAACAGTTTTCTATTTGGAAGTGACTGATATTTGCAAGGTGTTCAGATATCTGAGTACTCCTGGTACCCAGAGAATCTGCACCAGAAGTCTAGAAGACTACATAATGAATTGACTTTTTACGTACAAAATTTCTAACAAAGCAGTTTTTGCAGACTAAGTGTCAGCAATGAATTGAGTTTTTATGTACAAAATTTCTAAGAAAGCAGTTTTTGTAGACTAAGTGTCAGCCTTAGGCTTGTTGTCTAGCCATTTATACATAACTTCAATTTCTTTCTGAGTTAAAACTATGATGATCATCAAGGTTGTTCAAAATTGTATTACACATGACCAAGCCATCAAAAAGCACACTACACATTTGAATCTGAGGAACAACTGTGATCAGGAAGTCCACTGTTTACGCGGTAACACCTTTAAAAGGTGTAATTTTCTTCCAGTACCTGGAAACCTCATGATACACTTGGTCTTGTGAAATAGCATGATGGTAAAGCCTGAAACCCTTGCTTGTTGTAGAAATTCCTATTCTAAAGCTTCCAGCCACTTTTTAAGAGTGAGTTATCGAGGAAGAAGTATCCCCCATTTGCTTCCAGAAAGCAGGAATAGCCTGATTGTCAGAGAAACAGTTAACTAAGTATTGAACTACTTTATGACTTCCAATAAAGTACAATTGCTTTGTAAACAGCTCAGCTACACCACCTTTTCCAAAGAGTACTCCAGAAAAAAAAATCCACTCAGTTTCACTATTCATGCAAGTAAACTGCAACAAAAAGCAAAACAAATTTGCCATTAACACAGAATGACAATTTGAAGCAGCTGAACAACTACAACACCTTGGCATGGATTTGTAGGCTGTGCTTAATGCGCTTTGAAAAAAACATGAAACACTGTCTCCAGGTTGCTAAGAATGACATGAAGTTAACGCCTATGAAATGCAGGGCATCTGCTCCAGTCAAATTCCAACTGCAGCTCTGAAGTTGTCTTATTTATTGTCTTAATGAAAAAGCAGACTATTACATGGATCATATAAGGAATTGTGTGGTTTCATAAATTCCTCTGTAAACACTATGAGCTTGGTTGATGTGTGGTTCATCTACGTGATGACATTGGCTAAAATATGCTTCCAAATAACTAACCACTCTGGAAAAGCTTGCCAATGTTACTGTTTGAGAATAAAAGTTATTTATTATGAAACTTTAAGTTCATATCGGGCTTTATTTCAGAATAGCTTATCTAGTCAGTTCCCCATAGTAGATGAACCATTAAATCCCATCATCCTGATTCCTAGGAACTAACGATGTTTACGCACAACAAGAGGTGGACTTTGATTATTATACTGCATTATAGAATTGCAGCATGGAAGCAATTAAAGCACAAGTATGAGAATATCTCTATAAGTTAACTGTGAGGTGGAAGAAATTCAAGAATGATTCAGACCATGATGGGAAAGTTTCTAATGTGATGAATTTGAAAGCCTGCTATAGCTCAAAGCTAGGATGTGAGGGTACAAATAGCTAACAGAACAGAGTCCAGATTTCTTCTATTAAGTACTACAAAATCCAGATTCAGAATCCAATTTAACACTCCAAGTTTGCTGCAGATTGCTCGTAACAGCAGAATTAACTCAAGCAGAGGTTTACAGTCCAGACTGTCTACTTTTAAACATATACTTTCCTTGTGCTTGTTCTGAATGTGCACTGTTTATAAAGCAACCTCTGTTCAATCACATTTTTAAAGTCAACAAGAAAAAAGTTAGAGAAGGAAATTTACAGAGACATATCAGTAACAGCAGCAGAAGTAACAGGTCTGATACCTTAATAACTTCGGGAATGCTGAAAACAGCAACAACAACCCCCCCAAGAAAAACAAACATGCAGTTTGTATTAGTTTGGTCAAAGTTTTGTTAACATTCAGTCTACTAGAAAATACAAAAGTACTGGTAAGAAATAGCAGTTTCATATTTAACATCAATAAAACCAGATCTCTGCATAGTATGAAATAAAAGAGAAGTTTTTACAGATAGCATAGATGTGACGCTGCTACTGTAACTCGACTACAGCTGGAAACAGGAGATTGTATGCCACCCATTCCTACACACACCCAGTCGGAAGAGGCTCTGCTCTCAGTGTCATTAACGAGCCCAACCGCGAGCTTACATACACTCTATCACAAGAACTGCTGAAACGTATTTACAGAAAATAGCTATGTTTCGGGGCGGGGGAAGCCACACTCGAAAGCAACAAGTCACTATAGTTCTTCCTCTCCCGGGTCACGTCCCTACGAGGGAAGACCCACAAATTAGGATTCGGCGGAGGAACGCCTTAGAGGTTTCCCAGCCGAGGGAAGCCCCACCGCAGCGCTCCTCCAGGAGGACGCAGCCGCGCTCCCGCCCGCAGCCACCCGAGGGTCGTGCTTTGCCCGCCGGCTGCCGAAGGCCAGCAAGACGCCCCACAGCCCAA